GAGGCCCCTCTGTGGGTTGTGGTGGTTTTTTGCCCTGCAGGTTCCAGCAATTCTTTGGTTTCAGCCTCTCCAAGGATACCCCGGGCTCCCTGTTGTGCTTGCCAAGGGCACTGCAGGTTCCCAGCTGTGAATGCTGCTGTCCCAGGCTGGCAGATGTTTCTCCATCTGTTTGAGCACACATTCCTTGTCAGTGCTTTTCCTTATTGTAACCAGGTCGCCTTCAGGGCTGCTGTTCCATGAGGATGTCAGTGGTGTTCCCTTGGTCCCAGCAGCAAGAAGCTGTCCTGGGTGTGGCAGTGACCCCCAGGAGCCCCACGAGCTGGCCAGGCTTTGGGAACTCTGTGCTTGTCCCCATTCCCAGCCTCTGTGTCTGAGCAGGCACTGCTGTGCTCCAGCCCCTGGTGCCTGGAGGGGCAGCCACCGCCCCGTGTGCCACCGTGGCAGCTTCCTGCCCAGGTGCTCCCTGCTCACCCCCTGCTCCAGGGTTGTCTGGAAACGTGGCTGGAGGGGAGGGACCTCCGTGGGCACAGCAGCGAGTCCAGCAGTCCCTGCTGCAGGCAGGCGCTGGCAGAGCTCTGCTTCCCCCAGAGACACCCCTGCTCCCCAGGCTCCCGCTGCTCCCCCAGAGACACTCCTGCTCCCTGGAGAGTGAGGGGCTGTGCCTGCTGCCAAGTTGCACCTGCTGAGAGGCCCCAGGTGAGTGATGGCTGAGAATCGTGTTGGGGATGCACCATCCCTGCCGTGTGTCTCACGTGAGGCAGTCATGGCCAGCTGGGCCCTGGGAGCCATCCTCACCGTGCTGGCCTCGCTCATCATCGCTGCCAACGTGCTGGTGGCCATTGTCCTGCTCTGCCACATCCGGAAGAGAGGCTCCAAGGGGCTCTGTTTCGTCCTCAATCTTGCCTTGGCAGATGCCATGGTTGGCTTTACAGTCATGGGCCTGGCCGTGGATGAGCTTTCCCAGCCCTTTCCTGCTTCCCAGCAGTTTTGCATCCTGAGAATGGCTTTTGTGATGTCTTCCTGTGCTGCCTCCATCCTGTCCCTGATCCTGGTTGCATGTGACAGGCACCTGGCCATCCGGAAGCCTTTCCACTATTTCCAGCTGGTGACAGGCCCCCGGGTCGGGCTGTGCCTGGTGGGGCTCTGGCTCTTTGCTGCCGTCATCGGCTTCCTCCCGGTCTTCATCCCATACTTCCAGAGGATCTCCAACCATTGGAAATGCTCCTTCTTCAACCTCTTCCAGCCTTGCTACATGCTCACCATGTTCTGCCTCGGCTTCTTCCCCGCACTCTTCCTCTTCCTCTACCTCTACTGTGACATGCTGAAAATCGCCTCGGTGCACGTGCAGCATATCCAGGAGGTGGAGCAGGCGGGGCTGGGTGGCGGCTGTCCCCCACCCCGTGCCACTAGTGACATGAAGGCCATGCGCACGGTGGCCGTGCTCATCGGATGCTTCACCTTCTCCTGGCTGCCCTTCTTCATCTGCAGCATCGTGCAGATGGCCTGCCCTGAGTGCTTCCCCTACAAAGTCATCGAGAACTTCCTCTGGCTGCTGGGGCTGGGCAACTCCCTCCTGAACCCGCTGCTCTATTCCTACTGGCAGAAGGACGTGCAGTTCCAGCTGTCCCAGCTGGCTGCAGGTGTGAAGAGGAGGGTCCTGCTCCACCTGGGCAACAGCCGCTGTTTCCTGGGCAGAAACACGAAGGCTCCTCCTGCCGTGTCCTGCCTGGAGGTCCAGGACTGACTTGGTAAGGAGTGGCTGTCTCTGGCTCGCCAGCTTCCCTCCTGCATTGTGACCATGAACTCAGGGCCTGCCAGCTCTGAAGGAGATCACAGACGGGTGGGACCAGTCTGGATGTTAATTTCCAGGCACCATCATGGCCGGATTCCAGCCTGCCCCCCGCCCCACAGCCCCCAGCACAGCCAGTTCCCCCCAGCCCCAGGCAGCCCAGGTAGCAGGTGCTCCCTGGAGAGCCTCAGCTGGAGCAGCCCCGTGTCTGCTGGACCAAGCTCTCCCACTCACTCTGCAGGCAAAGATCCTTTGCCCATCGCTAGCCAGCTTCCCCTGCCAGGTGTGCCCCCTGCTCCATGGGCAACAAACCCCCCGTTCCTGGGGCAGGTGTGGGCACAGGGATGGCTCTGTCCCCTTGGCCCTGCAGCAAAGACTGGGCAGGCTATGAAGCATCCCCTAACTCTCCTGGAGCACAGGCGCTCCCCCTCCCTTCCCAAACCCACCTCTCAATTCTACACAGGGCCATCCCTGCTTTGGGCAGTGCCCACGTAGAGCAGAGGTGAGGGGGTGAGTTTGGGCATGGGGACAGAGAGGCTTGGCAGTGACCATGCCTGTGTGGGGGCTGGTGTAACCCAGGGCAGGGGGACAACCTGGGCACTGCTGTCACTGTTTACCCAGGCTGTAAAGCGAGTCAATGAGTAACTGGCTAACAAGGAGAGGGAGGATTGGCTGCCTCAGAGCTCCCCACGAAGAAGAGCTGCTGTGTCCCCCCAGGATTTGGGACTGGAAGGATCCCTGCACACTCACTCTGCCCATGGGAACCCCCTTCTGCCCTAGTGGCCAGATGGCTGCCCCTGCCAGAGGCTAAAGTTGTACTTAATTGCTTCTCATAAAATAATTTCATTTCATCCACACAGCAAGAAAACTTCCTTTAGAAGAGGTTTATTTGCTAAAAAAGTACATTACGCTGAAAATGAGGGTGCTCCGCGTGAAACAGCTGCTGTTCCCACCTCTGTCCTTGCCCCACTAGCAGACACGGCTCACGGCTGTATCCACTTGCATCCAGAACTTGCCATGAAGCTAAGGTCTTCCCCATCCTAGAGAAAGTGGGAAAAATAAAAGTGTCTTTAAAAGATTCCAAACAAGAGGCCCTCTGTGGCATTGCCCTCGGCCAGGGAAAGGCCTGGGACCAAGTCCCATGTGGCAGACACCGTTCCTGGCTGGGGTGGAGGGACTGACCCTGGGCGAGGGCTGCTCTGGGGGCTGCTGTAGGGATCTGGTGGGTGGATCCAGCCTGACTCAGCTCTGGGCTCAGCCCATCATCTCCCTGCACGGGGATTTGCTGCCTGTTCTTGGTGATGCCTTAGCTCTGCCGGCTGTGCCTTTGATCATCCTCATCCTTGCTGAGCCTCTGCTTCCCTCCAATGTCTTGCTGCAGCAGGTCCCAGTGGGAACAGGGACACTTTGGACATGGGCCTTGTGCTGCTTCCTGAGCTTCCCGACTGCCAGCTCTGCTGCGTGAATCCGTCACTGAGCCGGCCAGGCTGCAGGTCTGGATCGGCGTGAGGAGCAGGAGCCCTGGCTGGGCAGGAGCTCGTTCCAAGTGGGATCAGGGCTCAGGGAGCCTGCTCAGCACCATGAACACACTGCAGTGCCTTGGATGGGAGAGGGGACACCTCCAGACACACCTGCAGGGGACACTAGAAGGGAGCCTACGAGAGAGATGGAGAATGTGGACTTTGAACAAAAGTCTGAAGTGATGGGACACAGGGAATAGCTTCCTGCTGCCAGAGGGCAGGGATGGATGGGATATTGGGAATTAGGAATTGTTCCCTCTGAGGGTGGGCAGGCCCTGGCACAGGGTGCCCAGAGCAGCTGTGGCTGCCCCTGGATCCCTGGCAGTGCCCAAGGCCAGGCTGGGACTTGGAGCAGCTTGAGATAGTGGAAGGGTGCCCATGACAGAGGGCTGGAATGGGATGGGCTTTCAGTTCTAATCCAAACCATTCTGAGATTCTGTGACACTGTGCAGGTGGGGGACAAGTTGCAGCTGGAGGCAGAACTCCCCCTGCAGTGCAGCGTCACTTTCTGGGCATCTCACTGTGGCACTGCCCCCTCTCCTCGCTGTGCAAGCCGTGGCTGGAGGGGCTCACGGGCCGGCACAGCTGGGGCTCCATCCCCGGATACAGCTCCAGATCCCGTTGGGTGACCTGGAGGGGCAGCCGCTCCCTGTGGGGCCAGGCCTGCTCCCATCGCTCATCGCAGAGAGCCCCCGCCGCTGTCCCGCTCCAGGCTGCGGTGACGGCAGCACCGAGCGGCGGCGCGGGAGCGGCTGGACAGGGGGGCACGGGGCGGCCATGGCGGGAGGGGGACGGAGCCATCCTGCTGCACACCGGCACCGGCAAGGATGGCGGGCGCCTGCCCCGCTGCTGCTCCGCGCTGAATAAACGTCCTTGTGCCCGGCTGGTCTCTGCTCCGCTACCGGGGGCTCGGGGCGGCACCGGGGACAGCCGGGGGCCGCTCTGCCCCAGGCCAGGAAGCAGCAGTGGCGCGGGGGGGAACACAGAACCGGGGCGGCGGAAAGGCGGGCTACAGCAGCGGAGCCGCGGCCGCGGGGCCGGCCCTGTCCCGGTGAGGTGTTTACGGTGGGATGTTCCTGCTGGGATGTTCCCGGTCCCGGCGGGATGTTCCCGGTCCCGTAGGGATGGTCCCGGTCCCACGGGGGTGTGGCCGGTCCCGGAGGGGTGGGATGGTCCCGGTCCCGGTGGGATGGTCCCGGTCCCGGAGGGGTGTGGCCGGTCCCGTAGGGGTGGGATGGTTCCGCTGGGACGGTCCCGGTCCCACGGGGGTGTGGCCTGTCCCGGCGGGTGGTTCCGGTCCCGGGGGGTGTGGCCGGTCCCGGTGGGTGGAGCCGGTCCGGGGATGTGTGGCCTGTACCGGGGGTGATCCCGGCCCTGGAGGGGTGTGGCCTGCCCCGGTGGGTGGGGCCGGTCCCGGTGGGATGGTCCTGGCCCAGGGGGTGTGGCCGGTCCCGGGGGAGTGTGGCCTTCCCGGTGGGTGGGGCCGGTCCCGGTGGGTGGGGCCGGTCTGGCCCCGCGCGCTCCCGCCCCGCCGGACGCCGTCACGTGCCCGTCACGGTGCGCGCGCAGCGCCCGCCCCGCCAATGGGCGCGCGCAGCGGGGGCGCGCGGGGCGGGGCGTGCGGCGGAAGCGGCGGCGCGTGCGGGAGCGGCCGGGCCGGGCCGAGCCGAGCCGAGCCGAGCCGAGCCGGGCCGGGCGGTGAGTGAGGGGAGGCGGGGGGCCGCGGGCCCGGGACACGGGACCCTGACTGCGGGGAGCGGGCGCGGCCCCGCCCCGCCCTGCCCTGCCCTGGCGGGAGAGGCCGAGCGGCGGCCGGGGCCGGCCCGCAGCGGGAGCAGCCGGGGCCGGAGCGCTCCTCTGCCCGGGCCCGGGCGTGCGGAGGGGCCGCCCCGCTCTCCATTGCCGCTGCCCGACCGGCCGCAGGGCTCGCTGGGCAGGAGCGGCCTCCTCCGCACCTGCGGCCCGGCCGAGCCAGCCGGAGAGTTTTGTGGAGGGCCTGAACGGCCTCGTGGGAGCCGTCGCGACTTCGGGAAGACTGGCGGGGACACCCGCAGGGCTCCGCGTCCGGCTGGGTGGTGGGGAGGCTGTGTGGGAAAGTTTATGCCACGTGGGAAGTGTCTGTGCCACTACTTGGGTTCAGTGGTAGTTAAAATAACTTCAAAAAGGACATTAAAATTGCATCAGAAAAGATGGAGATTGTTACGGGAAGGTCTGGAGCACCCGGAGCAGCTGGGAAAGCTCAGCTTAGAGAAAAGGAGCAACCTCGGGGGGGAACTTCTGGCTCAGCACAGCGCCCTGACAGGAGCAGCAGCCGGGGGGGGTCGGGACCTTGTGCTGTGTCGTGTTTGCTCAAGGGGAGAGGAAAAAAGCCTCAAGGTGTGCCAAGCTAGGTTCAGGTTAGCAGTTAGTAACAATCGTTTCCCTACCGAGCGGTCAGGCCTTGGAAGAAATTGCTCAGGGTGCAGGCACCATCTCTGAAAATGTTGAGGCATTTGGGGTGTGTTTTAGGGGTTATTGTGGTGGTGCTGGTGGGTCTGGGTGACCTTGAAGGTCTCTTTCAATCCCAGTGATCCTGTGAAATTGGCACAAGGAGAAATTGGCTGCATGTAAAGAAATTCCTCTGGTGTTCCAAGAATGAGCAGTTGACGGAAGGGGTGAGGGGTGAGGGTGGCAGCAGCTTCCCCCGAGGTGGGATGCACCTGGCTGTGCTCACACTGTGCTGGGCTGTGCTGGGGCTGTGGTGCCACAGCAGATGGGCCGTGGGCAGCACAGGGAGCTTTGGGGATGCTCATGCTGGTGCCCACAGCTGCCGTGGGCTGCAGCTCTCCCACAGCCCTGGACTGCAACTCTTATATGCACATGCATGCATCTGTTTGGTTCCTTGAGCATTTATATCGAGCTTCTTTGGTTTATGTGCTTCTTACTCTCTTGTTTTCCTCACATTTTGGCGCTGTGTGCTGTTACCAGTAACGTCCATCAATGTCATGCTGCGTGGAGATGTTTTTGTTCTTTAGTGCCATGTATTTGTTACACAAACATTAATCCTTGGATAAGCTCCTCATTAGTCTGCACTGTCCCTACCTCCCCTGCAGCTACATTAATTAGCCATTGTATTTTTCCATATTTTCCTGGAAAAAGTTGCAGCAGAGCTGTGAGACTGTGGGAAAGCATGGAGGTGACCCTGGATAGGAGTTTGTCCCTCCAACTTGTGTTCCTTCTCACTCCAGCCATACTCCTCCCTGTGCTGGAAGTCAAGGGGTTGGATTCTCTGTTTCTTCAAGGCTTATTTGAGGAATTTTGAGGATCTAATTAGAAAGGCCCTTGAGCTGAGTTGCTGAAAGCTGTGTGGGAGCTGGGGTGAGGTCAGGTTTCTGTGTTGAAGGTCATATGTTTGGAGCTCGTAGCAGGGATGAGGTTCAATCACCAAGTCATTGCAAAGATCAGGTGTTGCTACTGAGGTATTCTGTATACCTTCCAAAGATGGTGTGAGATTTCTCCCTTAATCCCCAGCTTTTCTGGTGACATTATTTCAGTTCCAGCATGTCCATTCCATCCAGCTGCTCCACTCTCAGCCAGCACTTCCTCATGCTGATGCTGGCTTTCCATGAGGCTCTCTTGCCCATTAGTCCAAGCTTTTGCACTGGGATTTTCTGATGATCCTGACTGCTGGCTTTACTGGAGTTTATTTTTGTGTCTTCCCTTTTTTTTCTTTTCCTCTTTTTTTTTCTTCTTCCCCTTTTTTTTCTTTCCCAGTAGCTCTGTGTAGTTAGTCCTGCATTCTTTTGCCCATCAGCTTTCTTCTCCGAGCTTTTCCAGAAGATATTTCTGAAAACAGGAGCTGTTGAGCGCTGTTCAGAGGTGGCACTTGCTGGATGTTGCTCTCCAGGAGTGCTGAGGGAGTCTGGAAGGACGGAAAGGGATGGGACTGAGCTGCCTGCTCTGCATCCCCTGGAGCACGAGCAGCTCACCCCTGGAAATGCCAGGGTTAGAATTCCTAGGTGTGTGTGCAGAGGGAGGCTGCTTTGGCAGAGCCTTGTGAGCATCCTGAAAACATTTCAGGGAGTATTTAATAATTTGGTGTGGGCATGGCAGGTTTCACTGTTGGGAAGCACCGAGGGCTGTGTTAGGTCGCTGCTGGTGACACATGCATATACACACATGCTGGTAAGGAGGTTTTTCCTTTGTTTTGGGTTACAGCATTGAGTGTAGAGCACAGCTCGTACAGTACTTGGTCAGATTTCCCTGGTTTTGCTGCTGTGGCTGTGTTTTAGTGAAAACTCTGCAGGTTGGTGTCCCTGGCTGGGGTTGCTGACTGCTGCATTCTCAGGCACAAAGGAGGAAGGGGCTCTTTGTGTCTCTCAGTTTTATAGAGCCCTGCTAGAATAATTAGCTGCCTGAAATTAATATATTTCTTTCAAATACAAGCTTCCAGAATCAAGGAAAGCGAGCAGTGTGCCTGTTACCATCAAGGATTACCAGGAATTAATCTTTCAGTGCAAAGGCCACTAATCTCGGGCATGCAAACAGGGTTTATTGAGCTGCGTGCCAGTGCTTAGAGCAGTGATGGATGAAATCCCTGGCAAATTCAGATGCTCTGGCTGTTAATTGCCTCCCCACCTGCTCATCCACCTCCATCCCTGCATGCTGGAATCTGCCTCTGGGTGTCAGGCCAGGAGATGGATGGTGACACGTGGAGCTGCTGGGTGCCAGCCCCGGGCCAGCTTGGGCTGTCCTGTCTGCCCCAGGGCAGCTCTGCTCTCACTGGGTCCCAGCTTTTCTGCTGTGCTGGGAGCTGAGTGAGGGAGCTCAGCCTGGCACTCGGATTTTCAAGCACAAAGCCGAGCTGGGAGCGGTGGGAGAGCTGTCTGAGCTCCTGCCTTACCATGAGCATCTTGCCATGTTCCTCGTGCGGTTCGCAGGTAACGTGGGGGGGTTCTGGGATTCCCTGCATGGCTCCTGCTGCCCTGAAGGATTATCTGGAGTTGACAGAAGTCACTGTCAAAATTGTGCTGCTCTCATCAGTGTGCCTGGCCAGCTCCTGGCTCAGGCTGATGTTTGGGAGGCTTTACCAGTGATAATTGAGCCAGGAGTAGGGTAGAGAAGCATGCATGAGCCCAGCAGTAGTTTTTGAACCTGGAAATTAGTTTCCAAAAGGAAATGATTGGGATCAAGATGTAACTTCAAAGCTTTGGTATCCCTCTCTTCTGCCTTCCCTGCTGGTCTCTTTTCTCTTGTGTTCTAATCGATTGCTGCAGATGTACTTTGGTGTCCTCTCAAGTTCATTTCTTGAGGGCTTAAAATGAGAACTGTGTAATCAATGGCACAGTGTATCCTGGAATCCAGTTTATTCCCAAAAACACAGGCACCCTGCTCAGACTGAGCAGTGCTTATTCCCTAAATTTGCCAATGTTGGCAAAAGGTAAATCCGTATTTATAGTAAAGCCTGTGTCAGCCCATTTCTGAAGTTCCCCTGATGCTTAGTAAGAGAAGCCTAATGTGTGTTCAGAGGAGCCCAGGGGACCCCAAAATGTCACCTGAGGGGTTCAGAGGGACCTGGGGCACCCCCAAGTGTGACCCAGTGTAGCAGACAGGGTTCCAGGACATCCCAAAATACGTCCATACAAGCACCAGCCTGCACAGGCTTTTTGAGTGTATAATTGAAAGGCTCTTAGGTGTGTGACAGTGTCAGAGTGCCTGGTAATAGTTGTCATTAGTGTTTTGGGGCAGAGGTTTATGTTGCTGCTGTTTATTACCTGGTTGAATTGCAGGAAAGCTATTCCAGTGCCTGGGCAGAGTGAGGCTGCAGTTGGAGCTTGTGGCTCCAGAGCAATGCCAGGCTTGTGGCAGAGCTCATGCCACCACTTCACTGAATGTTCCTGAGCCCCGCAGGGTCCATTTGCCCAAATCCCGAGGTGGCAGCCCTGTGGCTGCTGTGTTGTTTGCAAGTGGTCCCAGGAGTGTTTCACAGGAGTGCACAATCCTGTGTTTTGGTTGTGATTTCCAGTGTTTTCTGTTGGTAATGGGAGTGATCTTAAAACAGCCTTTTCAGTTTGCCTCAGGGACTTCTTGGGGTTTATTTTCCCCCTGGTCATTAAGGCAAATGGCCCAGCTCTGTTAGGATTGGAAAATCGAGTCCTGTCCCGGGTCTGGCATGGGACCCAGTGAGGATGGATACTTCCCTTGATTTATGCCTGGAACATTGAGATCTTTCCTCTCTCCCCAGCCCCTCTCTGAAGCTGTGCTGTGGGAGCTGCATCCGTATTTAGCCCCAGCACAGACCTGGATTGATCCCAGCCCAGTGGGACAGTGGGCTGTGCATTGTCAGTGCTGCTTAGGCCAGTGGGAAGCTGTGGACTCTTCCCATCAGGCAGAGCTCAGCACCTGTTTCCAGAGGGGAAAACCACCCACAAGGACCCGCTGTGCTGTGGGAGAGGCCTTGCTCAGAGTCGCCTTCTGCTCATCTTTCAGCATCCCCCCCTTCTTTCCCTGATCCATTTTTCTGCTGAGGAATCTTCTAGTTTTTATTTTTAAATGTTTAGTCACTGCATTATGGCAGTGCCTCACGTCTCACTCCATTTTTAAATGGACTCTTCTGAAAATCCCTGGAGAAAGGAACAGGGAGATGAAGGGCACACTGACACCTGTGCCACATATGGCTCTAGAAGTGCTGACACCAGTTCTGACACTTGCTGGAAACCCAGATTTTCTCCTCCCCTCTTACCTTCTGTGTAGCATTTCCCAGCAAATGCAGAAATTTTATTTTGGCCTTTCCAGGCTGGCTTACTACAGGAATGCTGAGCAAACCCCTGTGGTTTGCTCCTGTGCTGGTGCCTTCCCTCCTGAGCAGAGCAGCTTGGAATGGCCAAGGACACCTCGTTCTGGTGGCACAAAGGACAGAGGGATGTTCCTGTTTGTGTCTCCTGGCTGTACTGGCTGAGCCTGTCAGCTTTTAACCTGCTCAGAGCCCAGGAGAGAGGATTTCCTGCAGCTTCAGCTTTCTCTGAGCCTGTTCTCCGTACCCAGTGGGGTGTGGCTGAGCTTTGGCTGCTCGCTGAGATGACAGGAGAGAGGCAGGTGGGTCTGAAAGTTGGCTGCTATCCACAGCATTTTTCCTGTGTAGGGTGGCAAATCTAACATGATGAGGGGCTTCTTACTCCAGAGTGTGTTGGGAATCTTCTCTCTGGTTTGTTTTAATTTTTGGAGCAAACTGCTGCTAGAGAGCAGCAAGCAAGGTCCCATCCATCACCCACTCTCCATACTGCCCCTTACTGGCACATTTGCTTTTTCTCCATCCTGGTGAAGTGAGAGCAAAGCTTTCCCAAGGAGTTTTCTGCCCGATGTTTGCTGTTGGGTTCTGGTGGATGGTAGCTGCTCCTGTTTTGGTGAGCCCTGAGGACAAGGCTCCTGCTCCAGGTCACACTGGTGCCTCCCCCCAGAGCCTTCCAGCTGGTGCTGCTTTGCTTCTGGCTGTCGGCTGGCCCTGGGGACATGCTGGGACATTGAGATTCTCACTCAAACTGGGGCTGGAAATCCTTGGAGTGAGTGGCTGCCTGTGTTCCCCAGTGGGTTGGAAAGCAGTGGCTGCAGCAGTGTCCATTCAGGTGCTGGTCAGTGCCAGGTGTCTCCACAGTGTTGTCTTCAGCCAGAGCAGGGTGTCTGTCCATGCTGGTGACACCAGTGTCCGGCTGTCCCACTGCCTCTCTCCATCCTTCCCTATTCCCAAATGCAGGAAAACTCTTGTTCAAGTTCAATTTTGCTTTTTTTATCACATTGATAACACCAATGTAAGTGTAGAACTGCTCCTTTTCCTTTCTCCTGCTGTCTTCCCTGTGCACAACCTCTCTATTTTTAACCTGCTGCATTCAGATTTGTTTTCCTGAGCCCTCATGACCTCCATGATATTTTGCCTTTGGAATATTTAACACAGCATTGTAGGCATCCTGCGTGGCCGGGCGTGACTATTGTTGTTGCCAGCTGAATAGTCCTTGTTTTTTTGGCCGCTTCTTGTGTTCTCAGCTTTCAGTGGCTCGGAGAGGAGCCTGCCAGGCTCCCTGTACCCACTTGGCTATTTACAGCCAGACCCAGCAGCCATGTTTATTAAGTTCTTGGAATCCTCTGGAACAGAAATCACAAGGCTGCAGAGGGGCTGGAGGAAGGTTTGGTACAAATGCCTCGGCCCATCAGTACCCTGGGATGGGAATTGTCATTGTTGCTCCTCTCAATTCTGCTGATTCCCCTTGGAACACAGAGCACCTTAGAAATGTCGTTATTTTTATCACTTTATATGGGTCCACAAAAAATATTTGGTTTTTTCTTTTTTTCCACTGTATTGGCTCTTCAGGGTGAATTTGCTGAGACAAAGATAAATCAAACTTGATATTTCACTGCTCCTTTGGCCTTGCATTCCTGCAAGTGCTGCCTGTGACAGAAGGTGGAGTGAGGAGCTCAGTGGTCAGTTCAGGGCACTGGACCCATCTCTTCAGCCTGGAGAAAAGGAGGCTTTGGGGGACCTTGCTCTCCACAGCTCCCTGACAGGAGGGTGCAGCTGGGGGGGTCTGGAGCTCTCCTTTTTGGGATGTGCATCCCAGAGCTCCTTCCATGTCAATGACCAAGAGCAGCTGTGTGGCAGACTCCTTGAACAAAAATTCCAACAGCACCTTCTCATTTTGAAGATGTTCTCAGTTGTGCCTTGTTTTTTGGAAGTAAATCACTCCAGATGAATTCTCAACCGGTGAAACTGAAATAACTTATCAGTGTGTTTCTGGACTGAAGAAATAGGGAAAAATTCTGTCCTTTGAGTTTCCAGGCTTGAAATGCTGCTCAGCCCAGGGAAGATGCACCCCTGGCTTACACTCAGGCAGTTTGATTTGTGTGGGTGCTAGAATTGGTGCTGGTGAGTAATATTTTATTGTGTAACATTCAGATCAGGCAGAGCTGGGGCCAGGAGTCAGGATTCCTTCAAGGCCTGGCATGCCGCTTGTGTCCAGAAGCGGGCATTTCTCTGACTACAGTGATCCAAAAGCATCCCAAACCAGGTTAAGTCAAGTCCCTAAATGTGCTTTTCTCTTTCAGGTTTGAACCAGCTGTCCTTTGACCCTGCCAGCAGCGAGTCCCCGGGGCTGGGCAGCACCGCTGGCCCGCGGCTGTCGGACAGCCCGGCTGAGGATGGAAGTGGCCCGGGAAAGAGGAGGAGGAGCAGCATTCCCCCAGGTGAGCCAATGCCAGCTCCACTGCTGGCAGGACTCAAGGGTTCTGTGAAGAGTGGCCTGGATGCAGGGCTGTGGCTGTGCAGGTGGGCAGGGGGAGCTGTGTGCTGCTGCAGCCCCACCGCTGTGCCTGGAGCCAGGCTTGGGCTGTGGGGGCTCCCCAAGGGGTATATAGTGATAGAAAAGTGGGGAATGGCCTCCCACTGCAGGGATGGATGGGATATTAGGAGGGAATTGTTCTTTGTGAGGGTGAGGAGGCCCTGGCACAGGGCAGCTGTGGCTGCTCCATCCCTGGCAGTGCCCAAGGCCAGGCTGGGTGAGGCTTGGAGCAGCCTGGGACAGTGGAATGTGTCCCTGCCCATGGCAGAGGATGGAATGGGATGGTTTTTCATGTCTCTTCCAACCCAAACCCTTCTGTGATTCTCTTTACTTGTCCAAATAGATGTATTTTCCTAATTGAACAGAATCTCAAGATTAAAATCATGACCATAATTAAAAGCAGGATAAGACACCTCAGGCTGAATGACTAGAGACATTCACATTTAAGATAATGTCATAAAATCAAAGTGTTAAAAGAACTGTATGATATTGTAATGTCAGATCAAGGAGTCGTGCAAGGAAAACTTCCTAGATGCCAGCTTCAGGATTTCTCACAGAGCATTGGGGAAAAAGGGAACACAGAATAATGTCTTTGCAGATTATATTGTGGCTGAAACTGCAGTCCCACCAGTGTGACTGGAGAAATGTGGCACCTGCTTGTGCTGTGGAGGTGGGATGTAACAGCATGGACAGAGCAGTCTGCAGGAATGAGGTGGGAACTTCCCTAGGGAGGTTCCAGGTGCAGAAGGGAAGGATGGGGCTGCACCTGGGGCAGAAGGAAGGTGATATGCAAAGCCCTGAGCTGCAGAAAGAGAGGGTGAAATGCAGCTGTTTCCCTGGAGAGTTAAAAATCCTTGAAGGAGAATCAGGGACTTTACAGCACAGTTCAAGGATGGTTTTGATGAGCTGACAGAGCACTTCAATGGCAGTGGGAGGATCCTGCTGGGACAGCTCCCTTCAGTTCAGTGCAGTCTGACAGTTTATACCTGCTGGATGTGTCCTTTGTTCCTAAATCTCTTGGGAGGAATCAGTGTCTCCTTACCTTTAATCAGTGCTCCTTCAAGGTCCCTTAGAGCTGTTAATTGCAGAGGATGACCCATAACTGAGGTGCTTTAAGGTGCTTTCCAGGTCCCAGCTGCTCCAGAGGCACAGCACTGAGGGGGTTTTTTTACTGGCTCTTCCCTGCCAGTGGGTTTAGTTCTGGTGTTGGGTGCTGACACTGCAGAGCCTCGCTGGGCAGAGCTGAGATCTGCTCTAAGCCCTTAATCACTTTTATGTTCCTCTCAACAGATGGTGGCAGAAATCTGAGCCTGGACTCCATTCTGATGGGATTGCCAATGTCCGACCCGACTGCCTGGGCCACCGCCATGAACAACCTGGGCATGGCTCCCATGGGCATGACAGGACAGCCCCTCCTGCCCGGTGAGCTGAGCCTCCCCTGCTCTCTGGGAGCAGCCTGTGCCACTGGGGCTGGGCAGACACCCACCATGTACACACTGAGCTGTGTTTGGAATGCATTCATGCTGCAGGTGATCTGTTTAGAGACCTGGACTGAGAGGAGATGAGAACACATGTATTTTAATGGAAATAATAGTTTTTGTGGGGTACCCCTAGGTATCCTGCAGGGGTGCAGGAGGAGGAGGATTCCACACAGAGATCAGGAAACCAGTGCTATCCAGGAGCATGTTACTCTAAACTGAACTGCAGTGGTTGATAAGGAAGGGAGGAAGATGAAGAGGAAAGCAACAGGGTGGCAAAATGGATATGGCAGAAATTCATGGAGAATTCTGCTCCAGAAATGACCACCTTGTAGTGTGAAATACATGGGCATGGCTGAGTCATCTTGTACTGGATGAAAGAGCTCCTGCAGGAACAGAGCTGAGCTGTGCCTGATTTCCCAGCAGTGCAGGATGCTGGACATCAAAGTCCTGAATGGAACTGACTGTTCCAGTGCTTTGCTGCACTAAGAAGGATGTTTTCCCTGCCATAAGCCCTGTCTGCTCACCTGGGGAGGGAATGTCTGTGTTGGCAGACAGCACAACCTTCTCTCCTCCAGTTTGAACAGCCCCAACACTCTCCACAGTAATAGAGTTCTCTCCTGTCCCCAAGGCCTTGTTTCACATTTGGCTTTGCTGTGGAGTTGCTGTTTCCTTGTCATTCTCCTGCTGACATTCTTCCATGAAGGAAAAATCAACACAGCCTATCCCATGGATAAGGATACAATTCCCATGTACTCCTTCATCCATGTTTCACAGTTGGAACAGGAAGGTTTCTTGTCCCTTCCTCCAAAAACGCTGGTTGATGGCAGAGGATTGGCCTCAGATGTGTGTTTTTGCTGTGACTGTGTTTCAAAGTACCGAGGAAATGGCAGGTTCTTAGCTCTGCTATTGCTGCACTTGTCTGCTTGGTGAGGTGATGCCCTAAAGCCCAGCACCATTTAGATTGGAAAAGACCTCCACATCGAGTCCAACCTGTGACTGATCCCCACCTTGTCAACAGCTCAGAGCACTGAGTGCCACATCTTGGATACCTCCAGGGATGGGGACTCCACTCCTTCCAATGCCTGGCAGCCTTTTCCATGTACAAATTCTTCCTGATGCCTTTAAGCCTGTGTCACAACTGTCTGTGCTGCTGAACTACTTAACACAACCAAAATGGGTCAAGTTTTCCACTGTTTCTATATGTCACAGCTGTCTTTTTGTGGACAAACCTCTCTGGGAAGGGGCTGGGCATTAATTGGGAGCCAGTGTCTACAGAGGAGAGAAGGAAATAATTTATTTTAATGGAGAAAAGTTACTTGACTGTGGCAATGAGCAATGAAATAGTTTTAAAACATTATTTTAAGGGCACAGATCTAAAGTTTGATGTTGGCATGCTGCTGATTTTCACCGGCATGCGTGGGAGTGTTCCCTGTTTGCTGTCAGAGCTCACAGTCACTGTATGACTCTACCCCCCACGCCTGACTCCCTTATTCTCTCCCCCATTTAGATTTTGATCCTGCTCTTGGCATGATGACTGGAATCCCTCCAATCAACCCCATGATGCCAGGCCTGGGGATTGTCCCACCTCCCATCCCTCCGGACATGCCGGCTGTGAAGGAGATCATCCACTGCAAGAGCTGCACTCTCTTCCCACCTAACCCACGTAACTGTCTGCTTGTGCTTTGTCTCTATAGGGTATCCCTTTGTTTATATAACCCAGGTGTGTGTGTGAAAAGGACCATTCCTGGGACTCATTGCTGGCAAGAGAGTGACAGAGCAACAGGAAAAGCCTGGTCTTGTCACTGTTTGCCATTTTCAGAAATAGCCTTTTCAGCTGCTAATTGATAAGGTCTGGGGAAGAAGCCATTCCAGTCACTGAGTGTTTGAAGTCCTCATGGTTTGATTCTTGTGTGCAGTGTAAGGTGTAGCTCAAGCACACAAGTCTGGAGTGTGTGCAGTTGCAGCACAAAGAATCCCCTGAGTATGTTTTTATATGTTATTTACATTAGGACAGTTTTTTAAGCTGTGATTTTGTAGCACCTTCCATGATGAAGTTGGGAGCCCCTGGTGCTGCTCGTGTTCTTTGACAGCAGCTTAGTGAACCTCCTGCACTCAGGAGAGTGTAGACTCCCAAGATCTTTTTTTTGCAAACGTGCTGGTGAATGTGCTTATTTTTATCCAGCACCTCAGCAGTGCTGTGGATCCACTCCATAATCTGAGTGTGGCATGGCCAGGTGTGTGCTGGGAGGAAGCCAGGAAGGTGTGGTCATCTCTCAGGAGAGAGGAGCAGGTGGAAGGAGTGTGTTCTGGCAACCCAAAACCTGACCTGCTCTGCTTTCTCTCTTCAGATCTTCCCCCTCCAGCCACGAGAGAGAGGCCCCCAGGGTGCAAGACAGTGTTTGTTGGAGGCCTGCCGGAAAACGGGACGGAGCAGATCATCATGGAGGTGTTTGAGCAGTGTGGGGAGGTCATAGCCATCCGCAAGAGCAAGAAGAACTTCTGCCACATCCGCTTTGCTGAGGAGTTCATGGTGGACAAGGCACTTTACCTGTCTGGTGGGTGTGCTTGGCTCAGAGGGAAGCTTAAAATTCTGGAACAGAACTGTGGTGGTGTGTTATAGGCAGAACAATAGAATTGGGGCAGATTTCTCTGATGCTGTGTCACTTTTCCTTCTGCTGCCATTGCATTTCTGCCTAAATAATGAAAACAACTCTTGAGAGGAAAGGCAGCAATGCTTTGTCACTTGAAAATGTTTACAAAACACTGGGCTGAGGTGCAGAGTCTATTTCCATCTTACATGGATAAGTATCCAGCTAATTCTCTATATAGTGCCTAAAAAAATGGACGTTTGCTCCTAATTTGCTGCCAGGTGGGCTGAACTTACTTGGCTGGCTGGCTTGCCTTAGTGGGGTTTTATTTGGCTGGTTGGCTTGTCCTAGTGGAGTTTTATTTGGCTGGCTGGCTTGCCTTAGTGGGGTTTTATTTGGCTGGTTGGTTTGCCCTAGTGGGGTTTTAGTTGGCTGGTTGGCTTGCCCTAGTGGGGTTTTTTCCCTGTTAGCCAAACCCTCTGGGCTCCTTTAGCCATGGGAGCCTCAGGTGAGTGCCCAGTCCTACTGACCACGTCCCTCCTGGCAGGCTACCGCATCCGGCTGGGCTCCAGCACGGACAAGAAGGACACGGGGCGGCTGCACGTGGACTTTGCGCAGGCGCGGGACGACCTGTACGAGTGGGAGTGCAAGCAGCGCATGCTGGCGCGCGAGGAGCGGCACCGGCGCCGCCTGGCCGAGGAGCGCTTCCGCCCGCCCTCGCCGCCCCCCGTCGTGCACTACTCCGACCACGAGTGCAGCGTGGTGGCCGAGAAGCTGAAAGGTGAGAGGGGCTGGATGGGCAGAGCTCTGTCTGCCCCAGGGGTCAGTGCACAGCAGCTCTGCCCCCATCTTCCTTCTTTGGTCAAAAACCCCCTCGTCTTGGTTTGGAGAGACAGGAGTCTGCTAAGGAAGGCAGGAGCCTCCCCTGAAATGGAGAATGTAAACCCTCCCCACCCCTCCCAATTGCTATAAATTTTAAATTGAGGGGCGCTCAGGCAAAAAATATGGGAGCAGGAATAACACTTCTTTAATAGGGAAGAAAAATAAGAGGATAAAATAAATAATGCAGTACACAATAACAACACTGCCAGAGTCAGAATCCAACCTGACACCCTGTGGGTCAGGGTGTTGGCAGCAGTCCCATTGGAATTGTGGCTCAGCCCTCCTGCAGTGTCAGGGGTGGTTCTGCTGGAGCAGGGATCCTGTAGAGAAGGATGGATTCTTCCTCTGAAGATCCAGGGGAAGGAGAGGCAGCTGCTGTTCCTCTGGGGAATCCAGTGGAGAAGCCGTGCTGGTGTCTCAAACCTCTGGATTATATCTGGGTAGGAATGCTTGGCTCCTCCCTCTGGGCAGAGGCTGTCTCACAATGGGATGTTGTCACAGACATCTTTTGTGAAAATCTTTTCTTTAGGATTTTCCTGCTGAAGCTGAGAAGTTTCAGCAACAAATGTAAACAATTATTATCTGCTGCTGTGGAATGCAACAGATCCACCTGTGATTGGCCCCTCTTAGATGTTTATAATTAATGGCCAATTAAGGACTGAGCTATCTCGGACAGAGTCTGAGAGAGCTCCTTTGTTATCATTCTTTTCTATTCTATTCTTAGCTTAGCTAGCCTTCTGAGGAACCTTTTGCTTCCTTTTCTTTTTACTATAGTTATAATGTAGTATATATATAATAAAATAATAAATCAAGCCTTCTGATCATGGAGTCAACATTCTTGTCTCTCTCTCATCCTGAAAACCCCTGTGACCACGGTCACAGGATGTTATAGTTTTTATCAGCCATGCAGTGACATTCAATAGCTGTTATCAGCAATGTCCCCTCCCGAGGGAGGTGTGGTTGTGGTCACTCAAAGAGAGAGATAAAGCAAACTGCTCACTTGACAAAAGACAATCTGCCACGTAGATGGTAATAGAATACATCTTGCCTTGCAATCTGGAACACCCCTTGAATCATATTTGTGGAATCTCAGGATGGAAAGGACCCGATGGCTCACCTGGCCTGACCTTTCTTGGCAGAAGCATGGTCTAGACTAGATGGCCCAACACTCTGCCCAGCCCAGTCTTGAAAGCCTCTAGTACTGGGGAGTCCAGCTCTTCCACAATGCTGCTGTTGTGAAAAATTGTCTCCAGGAGTACCTGTTCCCCCTCATCCTTTCCACATGAGTCTCTTGTAAAAGAGGAGTTTCCATCTTCATGGCCCTCCTCAAGACACAGTGATGAGGTCTCCCTTAAATCTTCTTTTCCCAAGGCTGAACAAACTTGTTGAGTGCAGGAAACTTGTGCAAATCAAAACTGTTCAGTACAAGTTTCTTCCACATAATTTTGGTTGGAAGGACTAATGTAAGACATTCTTGGAAGCCTGAGATTCATGTGTGATCTGATGATTTTGGAGCTGCAGGTCATCTCCTTTCACAAAAGATTCCATCTCAGTAGATGTGACGTTTTCCAGTAAGTTTCTAGTGCTTGTTCCTCCTCTTGCTGCACCTCAGCAGATGATCCAGCTTGGTGCTGGACTTGCCTTCCTTTGTACAGCCACCTGTTCAGATCCTTCCCTGCTTCCAGGAGTTGTGATGAGTCACCTGAAGGATGCTGACCTTTGAAGGAGCAGTTCAGCTCCAAGGAAAGCCCCTGAAAGCTGCCCAGGCCACCCCAAGAGCTGTGGTGTAAAGTTGTCCTTTCTTCCTGCAGATGACACCAAGTTCTCGGAAGCCATCCAGACCTTGCTGACCTGGATAGAACGCGGGGAGGTGAACAGGAGAACTGCCAACAACTTCTACTCCATGATCCAGTCAGCCAACAGCCACATACGCAGGCTCGTCAACGAGAAGGCGGCCCACGAGAAGGAGATGGAAGAAGCTAAAGAGAAGTTCAAACTGGCTCTCTCAGGGATCCTGGTGCAGTGTGAGTAGTGTCTCCAAGCTGGATGCTGGTTGTGTGGTGTAAGGAATACTCTTCATTTCCAGAATCTGGAGGGGCCCCACTAAAAGGGCTCTGGGAAAAGAAGTGGCAAAAATCTCTTCAGTGCAGCTCCGGCTGATTTGGAATCACACGGCACTAACCTGGCAAAAATCCCTTGTGGTGCTTTTTACTGGAGTAAGAGTCCACATCTGGGGGGAGGAGAGAATGAATTCTGAATTTGTTTCCTCTTAATTATCATCTTGTTATTATTTCTGTCACATTTTCAACCCCTCCTGTGCACAAACAAGGTAAGTTCCTGGGAATCTGGTGCCTCAGCGAAGTGTGCAGGATTTGTTCGCAAAAGGTAGGAGCAGCAGAGTGCTTCCAACACCCTGTTGCAGACCCTGGGTCTTTCAAATCCCAGTACTTTATAAAACCAGGAAAACAAGGAAGAGGCATGGACTGTATTAATTCCAAGATGTGATTTGTAATAGTTTCTCAGACCATTCATTGCTGCTTACACGTCCTTGCTTTAGTAAATCTGAATATTTTTACTTCATTACAAGTACCTTCTCCACAATTGTACTAATTTTCTTTGAACCCCTTGCCTAGCTTTTGAGCTTTTAAAACCTTCTTAACTTTTGGTTTTGTATCTAGTAATTTTAGCTCTTACTTGTTTTTTTTTAATTTATTATTTTCCTTTTAATTCTGTTAATGGTAAAAACTACGGGCACACGGTCCAGTGGGACTTACAATGAGCACTGCAGAGTAAGTAGTAATAGAGACTAGTGTGTATCTCCACTCTCTAAAACCAAGACTGATATCTCAGCCACTCTTAGGTTACTCTAACGAGCAGGGAGATGTGTTTATTTTGTGAGAATTATGAGTACTGCATCACAAGCATAGAAAAAATCAAGTGGATGTGCTCTGTGCTATGGGTGAGCTCTCAGCCAAGGAGAAACACTTTGTGTATTCCAAATCCTCTAAATTTTCTGGAGAAGCAGAAGGAATAAATCCCAGAACACAGAATGGTTGATGGCTGGTGCCTTTGCTTTGGTCCTGGTCGTGTTCCTGTAGCTCACACAGGCCTGTGGCACTGTCCAAAGGCCAACTCATGGTTGTAGCTCATCACCCCATTTCAGAGGTGAGTCCTGCCCCTCTGAACTTACACTCCCAGCCAGCCTCACACAGCATATTTGGATATTTTTCAGCACCTGTGCTGCCTTTTTTTTTCCCACGTGTCCTGCCTTTTTCCCAGCTGAGAGCAGAGCCCTTGCCCCAGTTGGTCGTTGCTCTGTGAGCGTTTGGCACTGGCCTGGTGAAGCCCACAAGGCTCTTTCCAGACACTGAGCCCCCTCCCTGAGCGTAGCATCAGCACAGTGCAGTGTTATGAGAAAAGGGGAGCCAAACCACCTGCCTGATTCCACTTTTTTACTCCTTTACTCCTCTTGTTCGCCCTCTCTGGATGCTATTCGGGCCCGATTTGCTGCTGATTTGCCACTCCAGTCGAGCAGATAGTGGCCGTGTACCATTCTGCCTCCAAACAAAAGGCTTGGGACCATTTCACGAAAGCTCAGCGTAAGAACATCAGCGTGTGGTGCAAGCAAGCAGAGGTTGGTAATCTTTTCTTGTGTTAGATCCTCCAGCACGGTCTCTTGCTTGTCAGGATGTTGATGTTCAGTTTGCGCGATGCTCGCACGGATAACAACACCTTCCTTCACAGTGTGAGGTGGGAATCACTCAGGAGGCTCTTGTGGTACAGGTAATAAATTTTCTCTTGGTATTTGTGTCACCAGTAGCAATACATGGAGACCTGCCTGCTGATGGAAGTTGTGCACAATAATAGTCATAATACTGCTGATAAATGTTGATTTTTCTGCTGATATTAAAGCAAGAAGGATTTCTAGAGAGATTAAAAAAACAGCAGCTCTAAGTTTCGTCAGAATATTTTATCACATTTTATGTCATATTTCCACCTTGAGGTGGAAATAATTGCAGATGAACAGCCTGGAAAGCTTGAGGGACGATGTTCTCATGCTTGTGTGTTTATTTCCATGAAGTGACATGATGAAATGTATGGTTTAAAAATGGTGATCAGAAAGGAACTGATGGAAGAATGCTTCTCACTCCCACTGCTCTTCCTGCAGGAGGAAAAATAGTTCTTAGTCCAGTAAGATTTTGTAAAATCAGATAAGAGAGTCAGGCAGAATGTCAGAAATAAGGAAGCTAAGGTAAAGAAAGGGTGTCCATTGGGAGGTGATGGGTGGGGAGGTGTTTGTCCTGGGGGCTCTGATGAGATCCATGCTGCCAGCTGCCACCTTGGGGGTGCAGGGCCTTGCACTTGGCCTTGTTGAGTCTCATGAGGTTTTATCCCACTCCTCCACCCTGTCCTGTTCCCTTTGGCTGTCATTGCTTACCCCTAGTGTAAATCTTCCTGTGGTTCTGCATTTGTCTGGGATATTGAGTTCCTTACTACAAACTTGAAAAGCAAGTCTATCCCAGCAAAGCCAGGAGGTGTCTTTCACCTTTAAGATTATTTACTATCCAGAGTGAATCTCAGCAAAGCTGAGAGGCTGCTGATCCGTGATCACCACAGGCCAGGGATGTGCAGGCCTGGGATCCCTGTGAGCTGGAGGTATCCAGGCCTGTGATCCCTATGGACTGGGGTGTCCAGGCCTGTGATCCTTGTGGACTGGGGTGTCCAGGCCCCTTTTCTGCAAAGCTGCAGCCTGGGAAGACTCTGGATCAGGCCCAGCCAGGGCCCTGTGGTACCAAGCAGGTGGTTAATCCTCCACCGTGCTCGAACACTAAATGCCCACGTTGTCCTGGGAAGTTTCCAGGTGCGATCTCCCCATGAGACTGTGGGACCTTCCAATCCCAGTCCCTTACCTATGGGACTTTCCAATCCCAGTGAGTCAAACCTTTGTAGCAGCTAAAAGAGGAGCCAAGGTTTCTTTTGCACCTGAGAAGCCAAGTGCTGATTCAGATTCACTCTGAGCCCAGTGCTCCTGTTTTTCCCTGCCTTCTGACCACTGGCTGTGGCTGGGGTGGGAGCTCTCTCTCCAGTTGGAGCTGTCTTTTGTTCCAAGGTAAGTTCTCCCTATAGGAAGAGGCTGTGAGACCACTGGTGAGGCCTCTTTCAGGAGCACTTCAGCTGCCAGGCTCAGTGTTCTGCTCTCCCCAGCTTAGGGACTGCTCTTAAAGGAAGGTGGAAGCCACAAGATGCAGCTTTTTGATGCAGATTTTGGCAGATGCTTATATATTTATAAAAATGCTTCTAGAATATGGTATATTTTTAGGTGTAATTTAAAATGTCTCTTACCTCATTGTAGATAGCAGATGCTGGCTAAAGGGTCTCTCAGCCTTTTGGGGTCACCTTGAGGAGGTCCCTGTACATGCAGAGGTGCAGCTGTAGCTTGGTTTGCTCTGTCCCAGCTCAGGTTGGGACTTTTGGCTCCAGAGAATTAGGGCTGACTCCAGTTCCTCAGGTTTGCACGGCAAGGCTGAGCTGCCTCATCACAAGAGCAGAAGGGAGATGGAAGGGTCTGTAATCCCAGTAGCTCTGACAGAGTGACTTGTGCTGGATATTGCCCTTGATCTAATAATCTGTGCCAGTTTTTAAGTCATGTCCTGGAGTTGTTTTTTGCAGACCTAGATTTCAGGAACTTTTCATTCAGCCAACCTGTTCCTCGCAATCTGTATTGAAACCCTCTCTGCTTCTGAACCCCAGGAGATCCGTAACATCCACAATGATGAGCTGATGGGCATTCGGAGAGAGGAGGAGATGGAAATGTCTGATGAAGAAATAGAAGATCCATCAGAGATGAAAGAAACAGAAGAGTCAGGTAAAATCCCTTTTTACAGCTCATAATGTGCTTCTCTTCAGTGGTTTCTTTCTGGCAGTGGGAAGCCATTCCCCTTGTCCTGTCCCTCCATCCTTTGTCCAAAGTCCCTCTCCAGCTCTCTTGAGCCCCTTTAGGCCCTGGGAGGGGCTCTGAGGTCTCCCTGCATCGTTCTCTTCTCCAGGCTGGACAGCCCCAGCTCTCCCAGCCTGGCTGCAGAGCAGAGGGGCTCCAGCCCTGCGATATCCCAAACAGCTGGAGCCATTCCTTTGTGTGCTCAGCCTTTGTAACCCGAGCTGCTGAGCCCGTGGGCAGGGTGGGGAGGGCAGCCAGGGGTTCCCTGCTGTCCCTGCTGTGCTGATTGCTGTGCTGTCCCCAGCGCTGGTGTCGCAGGTGGAGGCGCTGAAGGAGGAGAACGACAGCCTGCGCTGGCAGCTGGACGCCTATCGCAACGAGGTGGAGCTGCTCAAGCAGGAGCAGGGCAAGGCCTCCAGGGACGAGGACACCACCAAGGAGCAGCAGATGAAGCTCCTCCAGCAGGCTCTGCAGGGCATGCAGAAGGTGGGCCTGGAGTTTTTCATAGCTGGGGCTGTGCTGCAGGGGAAAGAGGCTGGGATGGGTGGCAGAAACACTTGGAAAAACATTTTAGCAGGATTTTAGCAGGATCCAATCTGGCAGCGGGGAGCACCTTTGTTGTGTCCAGTGTTGCTAAAAAAAAACCCAAAGAAAATATTGATACCAGGGATTGTGTGTGAGCTGCGAAGTCCCATGGAAACAATCCATAGTTGAAGAATTCTTTGTGTGCTCTTTACTGTGATTTCCAAAGTACCAAGTCTGTCCATAACCATCTGAGTTAGGAAATGGGAAATCCCATCCATTGGGGATAGAATCACTGCCCCATGTTTACACAACTGTGTTTTTTTCTATGCTAATATGCAAAGGTGTTTCTAAGGTGGATCCCTCTTTTATATTTCATCTTCTGGATGTGATCTGTCTGATCTTCATGGAAAAGCCCTTCTAAATTTTATGGTCTTTGACCAATAATTGGTGGAAGGCAGGTTGAGAAGGTAGAAGGCAGGTTAAGAGTTTATCTTTTCTCTTCCAGCATCTTTTGAAAGTCCAAGAGGAGTACAAAAAGAGAGAAGCTGAGTTGGAAAAAGTGAAAGAAGACAAACTTAAAATAGAAACATTACTAGAAAACCTGAAGGAGCAGGTATGTGCCATGCAGGTCTTCCTTGTGCAGTCCTCACCTTTGTGGTGAAGGACATCTGTCCTGCACTCCTGGTGGGAATGCCCAGCCCTGGTTCCAGCAGCTGTCCTTGGAAAGTGAGGAAAAATTACTTGTCAAATTGCAGGATGGACCTGCAGTTTGTCAGGAATGGACCTGCAGTTGCTTCATGTACCTGTGAGACAATCTCAGCAACTGTATAAATACAATAGGACTGTCACTGAGCAGTGTACAGGGGTGTCACAGCTGGAACGGGGTTTTCTGTAGCGTGAGCTTTTAAAAGACAACAAAAAAGGTCTCAGTTATCAGACACTGATATTTACAACTGTGGTTTAGGAGCATGTTTTGATCTACCCTCCATAAAACACTTGGGAACTGGAAATTTTTGTGAGTGTTTTAGTATTTTTATTCTTGCTGGGTTTATTCCAAACAAAAATCCATGCAGTATTCCAAACAGAAATCCATAGTGCTGCTTCTCAGGTTTGATCCCCTCTGATTTTATCGTGGATTTGACTCTATACTTGCCGAGTTCTTTTCTCTATAGCACAGACACAATTACAAAAGAAGCATGAGGCAGCACTTCCCCCTTGGCCAACAGAGCCAGAGACTGGGTTTGTCTCATTTTCCATCTGTAGTCCCACTTTTTTGCCAGGAGCTAGGGAAGATAATGCCTTTCTACTAACTAAAAATGGTTTTGTGTATTCCAGTAATAATCAGAGCAGGATCTTCAAAACAAAAATAAGAGATTATCATCAGTAATCTTTCCTTTCTTTGCCCATATATAGCAGAGCATGGCAGATGAAGAGGACAAGGAGGGAGATGCAGCTGACTGCCAAGGGAATGTAAGTCCAAGAGCTGCTGCTCTGGGATGGTGGAAGGTGTCCCTGGGGGTGGAACAGGGTGGGCTTTAAGGTCCCTCCCAGCCCAACCCATCCCATGATTCTGTGATCTTCAGGAGCAGGCAGGCTGTGGGTTTGCAGTGTAGCTGCTGGGCTGCAGTCCCTGCTCAGCTTCCACAGGGCAGAGCTGCTCTTTCTCCTCTAGAAGCAAATGTGGAAGCTCAGGCCATTTGGGCACAGGCTCAGCCCTGTGAGCTGAGAACTGCACTGGTGTAAGAATTTGAGCAAACCCAGGGGACTGTTCTGTTCTATCTTGGTCACTGGCCTCCCTCCAGCCCATCTCACTGGTCACTGGGAGCTCTTCCCAATTATAGCTGTCTACAGCTCTCAGGCCACTGGAATTCCACATAAAACTAGGGAATAAAACAAGTTCTGCTTTTAGTGCAGCCACCGTCTTTGCATTGTTGTGTTTATGTCAGGGATAATAAATTATGCCCAATTCTGTTTTAATTCAGTACCACAAACTCAAGTCAGGGACAGTCTGATCCTAAGCCCTGTGCAGCCCCATGGCACTTGATTAATCCCATTTGTGTCAGTGTGGGCATTTGAGAAATAAACCTCTGTAGCTTAATCAGTCATGGCAAGGCCACGGTCTGGTTTGTATTTTGTTGTTTAAAGCAAGGCCCTTGTGGAGCAGACGTCATGGCAGGGAGCAGGGCTGGTGCAGGGTGTGTGGTGGCATCTGCTGAGCTTTGTGACCTTTTCATCTCACTTGGTGGATGATGCCCAGCACCATGGACACAGCTGTGCTTTGCTGGGAGCATTTTTGAAAATAAACTTCAGATAGAGCAGTGATGGATGCAGTGACTCAGAAAGCCAGGAAAACACCCCTGCACGCTCTGTGGAGCCTGCCCAAGCCAGTCCCTGGTGTGCCAGGTTGTCTGGAACGTGTCCTGTGGCTTTTGCAGGAGAGCAGCATGTCCAGAGTTTGTGCCTGCAGCCAGGAGAAAGAATGTCCAGTGGAGAAGACCTTGAGCAACAGCCCTGTGAAATCTGAACGAGAAGTTCTCTTAGTTGGTGAGTTGTGCTGGCTCGGTGGTGATTCCAGAGCCCTGAGCTGGGGGAAGCTGCTTCAAGGTGACCTTGCACTCCTCCTGCCCACCTCTGGCTGCTTTGCTTATCCCAAGGGAGGTGGGAGTCCTGGAACTGAGGAAAACCTTGGGCTTTGCTGGGGTCAGGGTGTGGCTGCCTGCAGGGGCACAGGGCTGGTGTTCCCAGCTGCCTTTTGTCCCGTGACAATGACCTTGTGCTCCTTTCCCCAGGGATAATTTCAACGTTTCTCCACGTGCATCCCTTTGGAGCCAGCATTGAGTACATCTGCTCCTACCTGCAGCGCCTGGACAGCAAGGTGGGTGTGGGACAGCCTGGGCTCTGCTCCCTGCAGAAATCTGCTGAGGGGAATGGGGCATGGGGTGAATTTCAGGATGATAGGAAGGTGGTTTGTGCTGGGAGGGACCTCAAAGCCCATCCAGTTCCATGCCCTGGCAGGGACACTTGCACTATTCCAGGTTGCCCAAAGCAGCCCAGCTTTGGGGTTCACCACTAACTACACCCCCAATGTCCCATGTCCTGCTGGCTTTGTGCTCCTTTTTGGAGTAAATGGGAGCAACTGTGCAAAGGCTTCTGGAAGGAGTTACATCTCATTCCTTTAGGAAGGAATCTCATTGTCCCCTATCCCGGTCTCCAGCTGTCTTCCTTAAAGAGCCCCAGGGACAGGAGGCCCCACAGTCATGGGAATTCTGTCTTTGGATTGGAACTTATCCAGCTGCTTGTGTATATAAATGAGTGTTTAGTTTACCCTTTGCTAAGAAAACACGGCTCCCTGGCCTTGCTCACTGCAGCCTTATAAAGACAGAGTTAATAATTTTATCTCCTCATTCTAGCTTGGGGTTTGTCTGTTGGGCCACCAGCTGCCTTTATTTTGGTTTGGAACTCCTACAGAACTGCCATCATAGCACTCAGCTGCTTTCTGCAACTTCCTCTTTGGTATCCACAGTGCAGAGAAGGGCTTCTGGGAGCTTCTGCTTGGGAGAACCCCTGTGCAGAGCCCACCCTTTATTTAACCTGTGCTGTGGCATCAGTCTATCACGTTCACTCACACTTAGGGTTATTTCCATTGTCCTTTGTGTTCCTTCTGAGCTCTTCTGTCTCCTCCTTGACTCTTGCAGGAGTTCAGATTAGTTTGGGATGTTATTTTTAACCCTGAGCAGACCTTTGGGGCTGAGGTGAGGCAGGAGGAGGAGGAGTACTTGGAAGTATGACCTGTTCTTGAAGCTGCCAATAGGAAAGGAAGGGGAATATCTTTCCCCTGTTCCCTGTCCATCATTCTCACCAAGAAGATCAGCAGAGAGCACAAAAATTAAGATCCAAGGTGGTTTGGAGCTGTGGAAGAGCCCTTCAGAAGTTGCCTGTAGCCCTGAGCGTGGCTTGGCAGGACCTGGGGCTCGCCTCAGTTCCTTCTGTGCAGTGGTGCAACCCCAGTCTTAGCTCTTGTCACGGCTCCTGGTGTCCCAGCATTATCCCCAGGAGTTCAGGGAAGGCCTGGTTGAGCTTCAGCCACGTACGTGTTTGAGTTTGAGTTATCAGCAGCCATCAGGGCCTCCATCTTCCCTTTCAGTGCTGTTTTCCTTGTGCTCCCCAGATCTGCACGGCCGAGGTGGAGGTGCTCATGACACGACTGCAGAACACGTTCCGGCAGGAGCTCAGCGGGGTTGGGGCCAGCCTGGAGAAGAGGTGGAAGTTTTGTGGCTTTGATGGGTTGAAAATGACCTGAGCTTTGACTGAACGCTGGAAACAGTGGGATATGGATGCTGAGAAAACCTGGGATGCTCCTTCCTCTGTTCCTGATGATTCCCTCACATCACGGCCTCGGGGTACAAAGTGTAAAAGTGAAACCAAGTCCAGAGTAGCACATGAAGAACTTCCAAGTTCTGCAGCTGCTTTGATCAGTTATTTGTTATTGGGCAAGTGCTGTTCAGTATATTTGGGGAAAAAAGCTCCTGCCTGACCCTTTGAAGCACAGCGTGTTGACTCTGTGTTCTGCCAATGTTGTATGTGCTTGTGTGCCCAAATTCCTCCTCCTCGACCTTCCTTCTGCTAGGAACAGCCACAGACTGTCCTGAAGCAACAACAAAGGGGCATCTTCTGGTTTCTAGATCACCAAAAGGGAAAAAAGAGCATTTTTTAGATATTTCTATTAGTAAAAGCCAAGGTATGTTTAAAGAGAAGTTTTAGATGTGTCAGGGGCCTCTGAGCCAAGGAATTGTTTCTTTTATTGTTGTTCTCTTTGTTAGCAGTTAAGCTGAGGTGTGGGGGCTGAGGGGGATTCTGGCAGTGCCACTCATGCTCTGGGTCAGTCTGTACAGAATCTTCTACATGGGAAGGGTGTTTAATTTTCTGGGGATGTGGGTGGAGAAGAGCGACATCAGCCTGACTTTTGGTGATTTTTACCACTCAGTTCCTTCGCCTACTTTGCTTTGGAGACCAAGTTCAAGCAGCACAGACTCCTCTGCTCCTGATCCTTCCCAGCCCTGTTGTTCATGTTCCCAGTGCATGCCATGCTCTTGCCCAGCTGTGCAGAGGTGCAGGGTAGCACAGCTCAGCCCATCCCAGCCTGCCTGGAGCCCTCTGGATCCTCCTGCCCACAGCAGCCTCACGTTCCCAGCCTGGCAGAGCTCTCAGTCACCCTGTGCAGTTATTCCTGTTCTAGACATCCCAATGTGCTCCCAGCACGGCAGCTGGCACAGTTCCAGCCCCTCCTCCTGTTCCCCATGCCCCAGGTGTTGGTGCCCTTCACTTGGGCTGTTGATCCCACCTCACTTTGGGGGAGAAGCCCCAGTTCAAATGTTCCTGTTCTCAGGTATTTCCCAACCCTGGTGTCATCCTGCTAGGTGCTTCTCCACCCTGTGCCAAGGCCCAGGTAGTGCCCAGGTGAGTACAGGGACATTTCTGGTGTGTTCTGTGTACCTGGCCCAGAGACCTGATTGTGTGTGAACCAATTCCTCATCCAAAACCCCAAAATTCCACTGGTGAAGCCAGGCTTGGAGCCAGCTATTGACCTGCTGGCTGTTTCTCCCCTCACCATTCCCTGCAATAGGGAGGACAGAGGAGAGCACTCCTGTGCTCCTGCTTCCTTTCCCACTCACCCCAGGGCTCTGAGGTCTCTCCAGATCCCTTGTGTTTCTTCCTGCACCATCATCCTCCTCGTTGTTGTTGTCACTGGCAGAGCCTGGCACCAGTTCTCCCCAGGCCCTGGGGGAGCCAGGGTGGTCACAGAGGAGACAGCCCTGCTGTGCTGGGTGGGAATGTGGCACCTGTGCCACCTGTCCCTTGGGGTCAGCCAGGTGGAGAGAGAGCAGGGTGGCCTGCACTCAGTGAGAGCTCTCCTTGGGAAAATGGAGGAAGAAGCTTCAGGAGTCAGGACGGTTGCAGAGCGCTGGGAGCAGCCGTGGCTGGAGCACCCGGGGGCAGGGAAGGCGTGGGCTGGGGGGGACAGGGCTGGGCTCCCCACGTGGCAGCTCCCCCAGCACAGGGACTGGCTGGGTGCCAGCCTCTGCTGGCTGCAGGGTGGGAGCTGGGATGGGGCCAGGGCACCGTGGGCAGCCAGAGCCACCTGCTGGGGGTCTGAGGGGGCTGCGGCTGCTGCAGAGACCGGGCAGGTTGTTCCAGGGGGCAGCCAAAGGGAGAGGAGCCAGGACCTGTGGGGCAATGGCTGGTGCTGTGGAAGTGATTCAGGGCTGGAGCACCCCAGGGTCCTGCTGCTTCCCTGTCCCAGGGCCTTTCCAGAGGGGCTGAGGTTTCTCCCAGGAGAAATCCACCCTGGGCTGCTGAGGTGACAGCCAGGGATGGGTGACGCAGATCTTCCCTTGGGACCAGGCTGTTCCCACGTGGGCTGTTGCTCTCCCTGCTCCCAACACTGAGCGCTTGCCACACTGGGAGCAGATAAAAACCCTTTTAAAAAATGCTTTGAATAGTTGTGTCCCTGCAGATGAATGCTGTATTTTTAAGGAATAAACATTTTTTATGGGCAAATCTTGGGCCTGCTCCTTTCTTTGTCGTTCCAACCCAAACTGTTCCATGATCATGGGCCAGGAGCCCAGCTGTGGCCCCAAAGGTCTTATTGGTAAAGAAGTGCCAATTTTCGGTGTTGGTGGAGGTTTGGGAGGCTCTCCAAGGTCTGTAACCCTCTGGGAACAACCTGAGCTGTAGATCCACCCCATGAGGTCTGTGAGCTCCTCAACAGCAGAGCTCTGCAGGGGCCCTGGATGTGGAGCCTGTGCCAGACCCTGCCAGACACTCTGTCACGGGGAAGATGCAGTGGTGGAGCACCAGGAAGATGCACGGAGAGCTGAGGTGGGAATCATCCACTGGCCCTCCCCAGGCAGCCCAGGCAGCACATTCCCAGTTCAGGTTTCACCTGGCAGCACAGCTGATGCTTTGGGGGTGTCCTGGTTGTCCATGGATAGGAGTGGGGAAAGCTGAGGATGGAGGGGATTGAGCAATGAGCAATCCCTGCCAAGGCTCCGTGTCCAGCGTGGGAAGAGCAGCTCCTTCCATCCAGCCCTGCCCTCTCTCCACACGCTGTTTCTGGCTTTCATTTCTTTGGCAGAAAATTCACATTCTCATCCCCTCTCTCCTCCCCTCGGCCGTGGCAGCTCCTTTCCATCCCTTCCCCACTTCTCCTCCCGCCTGTGGGCTGGAAGGGCCCCTGGAGCCTTTGAGGAGATGCTGCTGTGAAAGCCATTGTCCCAAAGGAAGAGCTGGGAGCTCCAGGAGCTGCTGGTGCTGCTGCAAGAGGACACAGACAAGGTAAACGTGGGCCCTTTGTTCCAGCTGGGAAGAGAGGAACTGCAGCTGAGCCTGGGGGAGCAGCCTTGGGAATGGAGGGGGCAGCTGCACTGAGCTTTCCCCATGGGATTTCCTGAAATAAGCACCAGTCCTGTTTTTGAGTTAGTGAGATTCCTGCTCTGGCATCCCCTCCAAAGCAGGATTTTTGTGGGGGTCTGCCTTTGCCCCCACTGTGGGCCAGCATTTCTTTCCTTATGGGGAGCCTGGTGCCTGTCCAGGCTGAGTGAGCTCTCCTGTCCCATGGGATTCACAGGGATCCCTGTCCCCTGCAGGGACACCCACGCTGCTCTTGTGCCTCTGGCTTGGAGGTGCTCGTCCCCATCTCAGCTGTTTCCAGGGACATAAATCCACACCTGGGGTGAGAAGCAGGGCAGGTGTTTGGGGTTAACTCCTGGAGGATGAGTTTTGGCAGTGCCAGTGGTGGTGGCACAGTCACAGGGCTCCTCGAGTGGCGCCTGCGGTTGGGCAGATAAGCAGCAGCTTGTCCTTCTCCTTCCTGCCTTCTCCTTCCTGCCTTCCCTCTGCTGCTCCCTCTCTGGGATTCCTCCTCCTCCTCACCCCATGGCAGCCACATCCCACAGGACTCTGCTCAGGCTGGGGATGTGGCTGTGAGCTCTGCTGGAGTGTGGGGCTTCACCTGCACAAAGGTAACTCCCTACACTGTGTCTCTCTGGGGTATGTCCGTCCATCCATCCATCCTCATCCATCCACCCATGCACAGCAGAGCTGCTCCCGCCTGCTGGGAGCTCCCGGTGCAGCAGAGCACGGAGCTGTCCCTGGCATGTGGAGATGCTCCCATCTCTGACAGCCAAGGAGGTTCCTGCCCCACACGGTCCCAGGGGAGCAGGATGTGAGTTACAAAAATCCCTGCATTGTGCCTCTTTAATTTGACAGAGGGCAGGGATGGTTGGGATATTGGGAAGGAATTCCTTCCTAGGGTGGGCAGGCCCTGGCACAGCTGTGGCTGCCCCTGGATCCCTGGCAGTGCCCAAGGCCAGGTTGGATGGGGCTTGGAGCAGCCTGGGGCAGTGGGAGGTGTCCCTGCCATGGCAGGGGTGGAATGAGATGGTTTTTGAGGTCTCTTCCAATCCAAACCAGTGTGGAATTCTATGATGTAGGTGAATTCCCTTTTCAGTGTCCGCTTACAGGGAACTCTGAATAACTCCTTTATATTTGTTTTCTTCTTTATTTTATGTAACTTTCCAAATTCTAATTTCTAAATTTCTAATTTCTAACCTTTAGAAACTGAAATTTCAAACCTGGCCAGACGGAACCAGTCTCAGGGGCTAGAGAGGGGGCAGAAACTGACACAGGAGCTCTGTCCCCTTCCTGGGGGTCTCACTGCATCCCTTGAGACTTCCAGGCATTTATTTTTCATTCTTGCCTTAAGCCTCTTTGGGGAGGTTCTGTTCAGAGCCCGTACTCTGACCTCGCTCCTCTCCTCTCCCTGGGGCTGCTGTTGCTCTTTGGACCGTGCCGGGTGGTGCTGGGGCGGTGGCACAGGTGGCACCAGGAGGAGGTGGCACCGCTGAAGGCAGCCAGGTCAGTGTGGGCTGAGGAACCAGGTCCCTGTGTGGGCTCTCCCAGAGCCTGCACACAGCAGGGAGGGCTCCCCAAAGCTCTGGGACAGGAGATGGGGTGTCCAGGGTGTGTCCAGGGTCTGTGGTCCAGCATGTGCCTGGGATAAAGGACTTCGGCACCTCTGGTCATGTGCAGTTGTTTGTGATTTAAAAGAGATAAATCATAAAATTTGGGAGAGATCTTTAAGCTTATCTCCTTCCATGCAGAGACCTTTTGCACCAGTGCAGGTTGCTCCAAGCCCTGTCCAACCTGGCCATGGGCGCTTCCAGGGACAGAGCAACCACAGCTCCTCTGGGCACCCTGTGCCAGGGCCTCCCTCACAGGGAACAATTCCTTCCCAATATCAAATCTAAATATCTTCTCCCGATGCCTCCAAGGCCTTTGCTTGGAAGGCTGAAGTGAGATGATGTGGCTGGGGCTCTGCAGCCCCACTGGCTCTTTGGAGAGGTGACAGGGGGACAAATGTCTCCTGCAAAGACTCCCTGGGGTGCTCCCAGCAGTTTCTCTCCTAAAGCAGGTGTCGCTGCCACGCGTTCCTTTCACACAGGTGTGTTTTCCAGAGGACCTTTGACTCGCCCCTGTGCCAGGCCCCAGCCCTGGGATGCAGCCCGTGGCCCTGCAGAGCCTGTCCGAGCTGGAGAGGGCCAGTCTGCAGGAGCTGGCGCTGTTCCAGCTGCAGGAGAGGCTGCCCGTGGGCCACCTCAGTCTGGACAGAGGTACAGGGGACAGGGGGGACAGGAGGGACAGGACAGGAGGGGAGAGGACAGGGGGGAAGAGGAAGGACAGGAGGGGAGAGGACAGGGGGGACAGGAGGGACAGGGGGGGAGAGGAGGGACAGGAGGCTCCTGCCAAAGGGGGCTGAGGCTGAGCCATTCATGCTGCACATCCCCACACCACAGCCCGGGGTGATGGTTATGGGGAGACATTTGTGACATATTTTGGTCCATTCTATTTCTCATTCCTGCTTTGTTCTGAGCCCTGAAGGCCTGATCAGCCTGTGGAGGGGTTTGTGTGTCCGCAGCAGTGTGAGAACATGACCCTCCAACCCTCAAACTAAAACCAGATGTGACAACTTGGCGAGGTCTCCACGGGGATTGTCTGAGTGCCCTTGGGGTGGGATGGGATTTGCTGTTTGGATCCATGGCCAGCACTAAGTCCTGATGCTGGAAAGGGGCTTATGGGAGAGTGGATAATGCACTGGCACATAAAAGGGTGGATAAATTTAGGAGCTCCACAGGAACTGAGCACAGAGGCCCTGTCAGGGTTCCCAGGGTCGCCTGTGTCCCCCACCAGCAAACCCAGAGAGTTGTGGTTCCCAAATCAGAGACTCCTCAAATCCACTTCTTGCCTACTCAATGTGCCTCCTGTGCCATATTTTGGCATCCCAGCAGGGCAGGGGATGGCACCAGCTCACCAGGGCTGGGGTGCAGAGAGAGCCTGCGGGTCTCCAGCCCCCCTTCCACCCCTGGCACCCCAGGGCAGGATGGAGGCCCCAGGTCTCAGGATTCTCTCCCAGGATGGGGCATCTCCCAGTGCCCAGCCTCACACTGAGCACCAACTGCTCGAGGGGGCACCCAAGTCTGGCTTCCCACCTTAATATCCCAAAGGTTTCATGCCATTAAATGGCATCATGGAGAGGCCAGCACAGCTCCCCTCTCTTTCCAGAACTCCCAGTTGCTCCAGGGCTGCAGCCCTGGAGGACTTTGACCGCAAACATCCTGATTCCTTTTCTATTTTGTTTTATTTTGGACCGTTGTGATCCAGCTTGAAGTGACACCCTGCAGCAGCAGCTCCTCTAGGGACCAGTGCAGTGCCAAAAAAAGCCCCAAACCCCAGTATTTCCTTCCTGGTTGGTCAGTGTGCTGCTGGATAATTTATGCTGGCTTCTACACTCATGTTCCTCATTCCAGCTGTCAGAGGTTTCCTCTAAGTCTTACAAAATAACCCAAACAAGTAGATATAAGCTGTTCCTAGGAAGAGAATTCTTCAGGAATGAAGAGTACAAGCCAGAATAGGGTGATGTGACCTGGAAGGATTTAGGGTGGGCAGTGAGTGAATTCTCAGTTCACTGCTGCTGGATGTGTCAGGTGGGATTCCTACACAGCAGGATGGGATTTCTGATGGTGTTTTGTACAACTTTTTATGTCTGTGCTCTAAAACATTCCCAAAAGCCTTTCTGGGTCTCATTGCTCGTGTAGAGCCATGGGGTCCCTCCACCCCTTCACCCACAGAGGATGGTGCCCATCTCTGGGAATGTTCTCCAAGCAGGGATGTCCATCTCCAGGGCTGTTCCAAAGGCAGGGATGTCCATCTCCAGGGCTGTTCTCCAAGCAGTGATGTCCATCTCCAGAGCTGGTCCCTGGCAGGGATGTCCATCTCCAGGGCTGGTCCCTGGCAGGGATGTCCATCTCCAGAGCTGTTCCCTGGCAGGGATGTCCATCTCCAGGGCTGTTCTCCAAGCAGTGATGTCCATCTCCAGAGCTGGTCCCTGGCAGGGATGTCCATCTCCAGGGCTGGTCCCTGGCAGGGATGTCCATCTCCAGAGCTGGTCCCTGGCAGTGATGTCCATCTCCAGGGCTGTTCCCTGGCAGTGATGTCCATCTCCAGGGCTGGTCCCTGGCAGTGATGTCCATCTCCAGGGCTGGTCCCTGGCAGGGATGTCCATCTCCAGAGCTGGTCCCTGGCAGCTGCTGCCCACCGTGTGTCCCAGGGCACTCCTGGATCCCCTCAGGGCTGTCCCGCAGTGTCCCCTGGCTGGAGGCTGCAGAGGGACAGGGAGCCCATGCTGAGCCAGCCCCAAGATGCTGGTGCTGAACCTTCCCCTTTTCCTTGCAGATGGCTCCAAAGGCATGAAATCCATCCGGCAGAAGCTGGAGAGCTTCTCCAAGGAGAAGAAAGGTGAGCAGCCTCACGTGTACCTGGCCTTTGGTCCCTGCTCTCAGGGGGAATGGGTGGTTTTTGGTGGGGTGGGAGGTGCCCAAATCCAGGAGGATGCTTCATCACCGTTGTTCTGCTGTTCTTGGAATGGCACGAGCTTGCTGGAGCCTGGAAGGACGGAAAGGTGTGTGGGATGTGTGCAATGTGAAATGCATTCTCAAGGTGAACACCCACAAATGAGTCTATCTGCCCATTTTGCCCCACTCTTGTCACCTCCAGTTCTATCTCAGCATCCCCTGAAGGACCTCAGTGACAACCCTGGGGTACACAGAATCCTAGAGCAGAGCCAGGTGGGAATGAGCTTCCCCACACCAGCACAAAACCATTCAAGGGTTTAAAACTACTGAAATTAATGCCTCATATTTTACCTAGTACAATGCTTAAACACATCAATCATTGTACAACATGCTGGTAGCAACTTAGCAGCTGTTTGATCTCTGTCTGTGGTAAAAGCATTGTATAGTTTCAATCCTAAAAGTTCCCAGAGAGGAAGTGATAACATAGAAACTTCATCCACAGCTGGAAACCGCTTCTGAATACTGAATACTGAATACTTCTGAATAATAGCAAGTCCTTTAACTCAGATTTTGAAATGTTGCAGGAATTAGATTTGACCAGATCTTTAAGGTTTTATAAATATCTCTAGGCAAATTATCTCTAGGCAAATTGGACATCTTGTGTCCTAACACGTTCCCTGAGGCTTACCTGATGTTGAGCAACAGGCAAGTCCTTGCTGGATCTCTGTCCTGACTGAGCCAGCCACGAGGGCAGAAATCCAACTTCTCTCTTCTTGCAAGAGTCATGATCCCAGGATTCATGCTTGTCTCAGCAACACTTCACAAAAGTGACCTCGGGGCTTTCTGGCAGGTCAGACAGTTTAGTTGAGTTATCTGCTCCTCACGCTGGGCACCAGTTTGTTGGACAATACTCTCTTCTTGATCTTGAGATGGGGCAGCTGAGAGGCGTTTTAAAAACTTTTATTCCATTTTCCATCTCATGAGAAGGGTGAGACAGCACAGATGTTATCATTCATGCCATTACAATCAGAAACCAATTATTTCCTAATTACAATACACTATGAGTGTTTCTTGGCCTATCAGCTTTTTGCCACACCATGCTGTAGATGCCTTAAAGCCAATAATCTAAAACTAGCCCTCGTGGGTCCTAATGCATTTTTCCTATTTTTATTTCTCTAAAGAATCTAGTCTTATCTGTAAGGTTATCTTTTGAAACTTTTTTCTAGCTCAATTTTTCTCTCAACAATATCTGTCTTATTCTATGACATTTCTGAGTCAGCATTTCTTGTCTCAAAGTTTGCATACAGATGCACACTGTGTGGGCCTTCTGTTAGGCCCTGAGAACCCTCTACAAATCCATTTCTCACATTTAGAATTTGGAAAGGATCTTTTGGTGATTTATGAAGTCGTTGCTCCATGGGTGCCATGGCATCTTCATGGGGCTGTAGCCAGTCAAAGGAAGGAAACTCCAGGAAAAACTGGGACGGGCTCCAAGGAGCCCAGTGCTGGAGAGCAGGCCCCCGTGTCTCCTCCCCGTGCCCCCAGCCCCCCGTTTCCCATGGGGTGCCCTCCCCCTCGGCTCTGTGGCACCCAGGGTCCCCGCACGCCTTTCCTGCTCCCTGGGACTGCTCCAGGCGCTCCTGGGGGCGGGACGCGGGGTTCATCCTGCAGCTCCCTCAGTGCCGTTCCCTCCGTGCCGCGTTCCCGCAGAGTGCTCTCCCCACACCTTCGGCGTGCCGCTCGCCCAGGTCATCGCCAACGACCGCGCCTGCCGGCAGCTGCAGGAGGCCGTGGGCCGGAGCCGCCGCCTCTGCCTGGAGGTGGAGGCCACGGTCACCAGGTTCCGGGCCCAGAGGCACAGGAGGCTGGCAGTGGGCACCAGCTGCATCCGGGCACCCGACGGGGGCTGCCCAGAGGAGCCGCTTTCCCCGGTGCCGGTGGACAAGGGCTCCTGGAGCCAGCGGAGGGTATGGTCCCCAACATGGGCTGTGGTGGTGCTGTGGGATGGGGGCATCCGAATTTGGCAATAAATTGGATTTTCCAGGATTTTTTCTCACTGACTGAGTGGGTTGTGACCCAGGCTGGGCCGGTCCCAGTCTGTCCCCAGGGAAATGGTGATGTCCCCAGCCCCCTCAGAGATGGACTGAGAAGAGTGGGAGGACCCTCACTAGCAAAGCTCTTATGGAGATGAGGTTACCAGGGGGACATCTAAGGGTCCAGAGGGCAGGGATGGATGGGATATTGGGAATTAAGAATTGTTCCCTGGCAAGGTGGGCAGGCCCTGGCACAGGGTGCCCAGAGCAGCTGGGGCTGCCCGGCAGTGTCCAAGATCAGGGTGGACACTGGGGCTTGGAGCAGCCTGGGACAGTGGGAGGTGTCCCTGCCATGGCAGGGGTGGCACTGGATGCTGCCCTTTCCCAGAAACCCGTGAGGTCACGGCAGTGATGGGTCTGTGGGGTCATTCCTCTGCTCCATCCCAGGGGGCCATGTCCGTGGATTCCATCACAGACCTGAGTGACAACGCCTCCGAGCTGCTGGAGGCCCTGCAGCTCTCACACCCCCATGAGCTGGACCCTCGCAGGAGCCGCGGCAAGAAGAAGCAGCTGAGCCTGAACCCCATCACCTGGCAGGTGCCACGGATTGTGGACAGGTGCTGCACCCACCTTGAGACGCACGGTAAGGGCTGGAGAAACTCCCTGAGTGTGGCCTCCAGGACATCCTGGCTGACCACCCCCAAGGTGGGAGGGAGGCCAGGTTTGATGGGCACCGTGGTTGGACTCGATGGTCTTGGAGGTCTTTCCCAACCTGAATGCTTCTGTGAGTCCTGGGGCAGGGCATCTTCCAAAAAGCCTCCTTTTGGAAGAGAGGAGAGTCCTCTGGGTTGGATGCAGCACCAGAGGGGGATGTCACTGAGGAGAGAATGTCACTGTGTGTGTCAGTGACCATCTCCGGGTGCCTCAACCTCTGATGCACATCCAGCCCTTGCTCACAGTGACTGTAGGGATGGGATCTCCTCCTTTCCCACAGGCATCCCAAGGAAATCTCATGGCTCCACAGCCTTTCCTTTTCCTCACTGCCTGGAGAAGGGAAAGCCGTGCAAGAGAAGCCCTGCCACGATGCTGAGGTGCTCCCAGGAGCAGCCTGGGTGGCAGGGAGCAGTGGGAATGCACAGCACTAACCTCTCTGTCCCCCAGGGCTCCAAACTGTTGGCATCTTCCGTGTTGGAAGCTCCAAGAAAAGAGTCCAGCAGGTAAAGGGAGGCATTCACTGCATCCTCTGGCTGTGCCTTGTCGGGGATAGAGGCTCGTGTGGATGGGGATGGATAGAGCTGACATTGGTGTGGAGAGGTCTGAAACAGACTGGAACTGACTGTGGTTTTCATCCTTCCCATTTCTTCCATCTCCAAGCTGAGGGAAGAGTTTGACCGAGGGCTGGATGTTTTCTTGGATGAGCATCAAAGTGTTCATGATGTGGCTGCCCTGCTCAAAGAGTTTCTCCGGGATATGCCTGATTCCCTGATTCCCAGAGAGCTCTATGGAGCCTTCCTCAGCACAGCCAGTGAGTACCTGTGGAGCAGAGCCTGCACAGCCACAGGAGGATTTGTGTTGGGGGCACCTCTCACTTGGGCAGGTTGCTCCAAGTCCTGTCCAGCCTGGCTTTGGACACTGCCAGGATTGGATCCTTCCTCACCACCCTTCTTTTCCAAAGCTTCTGGGATGGGTGTTGTGCTCCCATTACACAGTTACTGTAATCAGTGGATTTGGTGGGAGTTTTGTCTGATTTCTTTTGAATTGGACTATAAAAATCCCTCTGCTCCGTGACAGTCTTTGGCTGTGTGGCTGTGCAATATCCAACAACACCACAGCTCTGGCTGGGTTCTCCATCCCATGGGAGGAAGGGTGGGACAGCAGCCTGGCTCCCACCAGAGCTCATTCCCAAGCACGTGGAGGAGGGCTGGGAGTGCCTGGTGGGCTGGGCCCCTCACTGACACTGCTCTCCCCAGGCCTGGAGGGGCAGGCCCAGCTGGACACGCTGCAGCTGCTGCTGTTCCTGCTGCCCCCGTGCCACAGTGACACCCTGCTGCGCCTGCTGCGCTTCCTGGCCCGGGTGGCGCGGCACGCCGAGAGCTCCTGGGACCCCGAGGGCCGCCAGGTGAGGCTGCTGCTCCCGAGGGCTGCCCTGGACGGGGCTGGGGCTGCTGCAAGCCTGGGGGAGAAAACAAATCCCTCACGGAACCCCGGGAGCATTGTGGTTGGAAAAGGTGGGGATGGGATCAGTGTGTGCTCCAGCACCTCGAGCCCTTTGTGCTGGCGCTGCCACCAGCTCAGAGAGGACCAAACTGGACCCAGACCAAGCCCTCACCCTCATCTCGCCCTTGTGTTCCTGCCCTGGGGTGGGTGAGGACATCCTGGGACATCCCATGCCACTCCATCCACAGTCCACAGGTTCCTTTGGTGCTTCCTTATAGATCCCTGGGAACAAAATGACAGTGTCAAACCTGGCTACAGTCTTTGGTCCCAACATCCTGCAGAAGGAGAAGCCTGGAGAGAAAGATGCTGGTGCCCTGAACTTTGAGGACAGTGCTGCCATAATCCTGGTGCTCCAGAGGCTGATTGAGCACCACCACTCCCTGTTCAAGGTACGTGGGGCTCCTCAGGGCAGCCCCTCCAGCACCTCCTTCCCTCTGAACTCTTGCAAGAGCAGCAGGGGAAGGATTTTGTCCCTGTCAGAGATGCACACCTTGGTCTGTGCCCATCCTCTGGGAAGGCTCTGGCTCCATTCTCTCTCCACCCTCCTGCAGGACACTCACAGGCAGCAGTAAGAGTCCCCTCAGGTCTATTGGAGTGTGACATTTCAGATCCCCAAAAAGCCTTATAGCAATTTTTGTGGTCTGCAGGGAGCCAAAGGCCTGGGGATAAGTGGAGGGAAAGCAGGGGCTGAGATCCTGCAGCCCCTGGGAGGTGTGTGGGGTGTGACACCAACGTGCTGGCTCTGTGACCACGTCCTGGGCTCCTTCCTTGGCTGCCTCTGCTCAGCCTCCTGCCCAGAGTGGCCCCACGAGTGAGCGGTGTGGCCGTGTGTCCCCAGGTGTCCCCAGAGATGCAGTGTGACGTGCTGAGGAGGCTGTTCCAGACAGACCCCGATGTCATCGAGTACCTGCTGCGCAGGAAGTTCCCTGACGTGCCGTAAGTGCCCGAGGGCTCCTCAGGCACAGGGACAAGTGACAGCACACCCTGCTCATCTTCCTCCAGGCTGCTCCTTCCTACAGCGCCCTGGTCACAGCTCCTCATCTAAAGCCCTTCACGCTCCATCCTTCCCATCCCTCGGAGCTCCCTGCTCTCCCTGTTTGCTCCCCAGCCTGTGCCAGCTCTCTCCTGCTCTCTCCAGAGCTCTCTCTGTGGTATCCACACAGCTCCTGTCCAGCCCCTGCCCTGCTCCTGCCTCTCAGTGTCACACACTGATTCCTGCTCCACCACCAGCCTTCTCCAAACCTCCTCCATCCTTGGTGTCTGTGTTTCACTGCAGTCTCTGCCTGCCCCGGGTGTCTGTGTGGGGCCACCAGCTCTGTCCATGCATCCACATTTTGGGTGCAAGATGGAACATTCCCACTGAGGCTCAGAACTGGAGCTTGTGCCCTTCCCTAAGGTTAAAGGTGGTGGCTGAAAGGACCTCACGTCCCATGAGCTGGGTCTACCATGGCACATAATGCAGGAGGGGGTTTGCTCCCTGGGGTTGGAAGTAGGGAATAGTTGAAAACAGGGGATCCTGAGGAGCAGGGGATGCTCAAGAGCCTTCAGTAGAGCTGGTGACTCCTCAGAAACATGAATTGTCCTGTGGGAAGGGTTTTCCTGGACCACAGGTCACTTCCACACCAGTTTGGATGGGGCTTGGAGCAACCTCATCTAGGGGAAGGTATCTGTGCCCATGGACTAGATGCTCTTCAAAGTTCCTTCCAACCCAAACCTGGGATTCTGCAATCCATGCTACAGCTTCTTGTTTGTGTTCACATTCCTCTTGGGACTGTCTGGAGATGGCAGTCTTTGGGATCACTGCTTGAGCCCATTTGAGAGTGCAGTGGGCAGTAGAAGCATTTGCTACAGCATCTCTCTCCTTTTTGCTTCCTTAGGAGCCCAGAGCGTGAGGATCCCGGGGAGGAGCTGGCTCTGTCCACACCGCCTGGCTGGACACACAGCCTGGAGCGTGGCTCGGTCTGCTCGGAGCTCTACAGCAGCGTCTCCTTCCTAAACCTGCATGTTGGCATCTAGCCCTGCCCAGGCTCTCTGGACACAACCAGGCAGCTTTTCCCACAAACCCCAGCCCTTCCTCACTGTGGGGGCAGCCCCTGTGCCTGTGCCTGGGGGGCAGAGCTGTACTCGGGGGTCACCTGCCAGGCTGGCACCTCCCTGCGGGTCCAACCACTGCCACCCCCTCCTCACAGCACCTCGGGAATGGAGTGCCATCCCTACACCTGCAGGGAGGACAGGCTGAGGGAGCTGGCACTGCTCAGCCTGGAGAAGAGATGGCTCAGAGTGACCTTATCCATGTATCCAAATGCTTTTGTAACGGCCTGGAGGGACAGGACACGGGGAATGGCTTCCCACTGCCAAACAGAGAAATTGGGATATTCATGGGATATTCAGAGAAGTTCTTCCCCGTGAGGGCGGTGAGGCTCTGGCACAGGCAGGGACACCTTCCCCTGCACCAGGCTGCTCCAAGCCCCATCCTGCCTGGCCTTCTGGCCTTGAACTTTCCCAGGGATGGGGCAGCCACAGCAGGGCACTTCTGGGGACAAAACAGTACTTCTGCAAACAGTATTCCATATTCCACCACAGCCTGCACCCCGTCCTAGTCTGAAGGCACCCAGACCTTCTCAGGTGCCCTGCTCAGGCTGGGCTCTTATTTTGCAAAGGTCCCTTCCCTGCAGATCTGAACAGTTGGGATGGGTGGGGAAGCATTTCCCGGAGGAGCCTGTGCTGTGAGATAGCTGGTGAGACCCCCTGGGAGCTGATAAGCTCCAGAGAGCAGCAGAGCTGTTGTGTCTGGAGGAGCAGATAAATTTGGGACACCATGAGGCTGTGGAAGGTTCCAGAGGCCATGGGAACACTCGAATGTCAGCTGTGAAACCAACATTGTGTCCAGCCACTGCTCTGGGTGGGATTGTACCTGCTGCAAGAGCAGCCCCCAGCCTTTCAAATTCCTTCCTAGGGTAAAACACTGGCACAGGTTGTCCAGAGCAGCTGTGGCTGCCCCCTGGATCCCTGGAAGTGTCCAAGGCCAGGTTGGATGTGGCTTGGGGCAGCCTGGGACAGTGAAAGGTGTCCTTGCCCATGGCAGGGGGTGGAGCGGGATGGACTTTAAGGTCCTTTCCCACCCAAGCCATTCTGTGATTCCAGGATTCTAGGATGGACGAGGGATGCTGACACAGGAGGCAGCTCTTTGCAGGAAAAGCCCTGCTGGATTTCACTATCCCAGCACCATAACGGGGGCAGGGGGCCACGGGGAGCTCCCTGGGAAGCACCAGCTTTCTCTGGCTGCTGCAGAGCCATCCAAGTGGCCGTGGGGTGTTCATCCCTGGCAGCGCTGATGCGATATTGCTGCAAACTCCGCTTGAGGGCAGCCCGGCACCGGCCTGGCCCGGCCCCCGTGCGGCTGCACCGAGACTCTGCTGGAGCTGCTCCGTTCCGGCCGCACGAAATGAAATAAATCCCCTCCCCACCCAGCTGCACATCTCACCATGGAGCCTTGGCGTTGCTCTGGGCCCGCTCTGCAGGGGCTGGCTGGCTTTTGCTCCGGGTTCTGCTCTCAGGGGCTCCTTGCCCCTGCAGGCCTTGGGGGTCACCTCAGGAATGACAGGGAAGGTTCTGCCTTGATCCTTCCTGATCCCCAGTGCTGGCACAGGGGGGGCTGCTGCTGTTGGGGGTCTCTTCTTGAGGGGGGTGGTTGCTTTTGGGGCAGTGGTGAATGTTTGGGGGAGTCTGCTTGTGGAAGGTGGTGGTGGCTCTCAGGAGCTGGTCACTGTCTGGGGGGGTCATTCCTGTTTAGGCAGCAGTTGCTGTTTTTGGGGGCAGTTGCTGTTGTTGGGGAAGTTCTGGCTGGTTTTTAGTTCCAGCCCCACCAAAGCCCCCTTGAGCCCCTCAGACCAGCGGGGCAGAGCCAGGCCTAGGGCTTGTATGAGGGTACAGCAGGGAGAATCTGCAGGAGTGGGATGGGCTACTGGGATCCATGGGTGGCTTTAGAGTCAACAGCAAGGACAGCAGACCCTGAGCTCCTCTTTTTTAAACCCCCCGTGTCTCCCTCACGCTGCTGACCAGGATCCATGGCAGGGCCCAGACACAGAGCTCTGGGCTTGACAGCTCTCTGGGAAAGCTGTGGGAGAGAACTGTGGAACCGCTGAGGCTGGAAAAGCCCTGCAAGAGCACCAAGTCCAGATATCCCCCAGCACTGCCAAGGCCACACAACCCGTGTCCCCAAGTGCCACATCCACACGGCTTTGAAATCCCTCCAGGGACGGGCACTCCACCACTGCTCTGGGCAGCTGTGCCAGGCCAGACAGCCCTGTCCATGAAGGAATTTTCCCCTGATATCCAACCTAACCTTTCCCCAGCACAGCTTGAGGCCGTCTGTCCCTTGTTCCCCGTGAGCTGAGTCCCAGTCCCGTGTTCCACCTCCTGTCCGGGCTTTGAGGGAGCGAGATCGGGCGGGGGCGTTCGGGGGTGTCTTTTAGGGGGTGCTTGTTCAGGGGTGTTTGAGGGCGTTCGGGGGTGTTTGTTTGGAGGTGTTTGGGGTGTTTGTTCGGGGGTGTTTGTTCGGGGATATTTGTTCAGGGGCATTTAGGGGTGTTTGTTCGAGGGTGTTTGGGGTGTTTGTTCGGGGGTGTTTGATCGGGGGTGTTTGGAGGTGTTTGTTCGGGGGTGTTTGGGGGCGTTCAGGGGTGTTTGTTCGGGGGTGTTTGATCGGGGGTGTTTGGAGGTGTTTGTTCGGGGGTGTTTGGGGGCGTTCGGGGGTGTTTGATCGGGGATGTTTGATCAGGGGTGTTTGGAGGTGTTTGATCGGGGGTGTTTGTTTGGAGGTGTTTGATCGGGGGTGTTTGATCGGGGGTGTTTGGAGGTGTGTGATCGGGGGTTTTGGAGGTGTTTGTTCGGGGGTGTTTGGGGGCGTTCGGGGGTGTTTGTTCGGAGGTGTATATCGGGGATGTTTGAGGTGTTTGGGGGGATGACCCCGGGACTCCCCCGGTACCGCGCTGCCGTTTGGGGGCGGAGCCTCCCGGAGCCCCCGCCCAGCCCCGGTGCGGGGCCAAAAGCGGCGGGAGCGGAGCGGAGTCGCTGCTGCCGCGGGACCGGAGCGCAGGGAGCCGAGCAGCCGGTGAGTGCCGAACCCAACCGGGAATGCCGCCCCCTCGGAACCCGCCAGGGGCTCCGCTCCTGGGTCCCCCCGCAGCCTCCGGGCACCCCCGGGAGCGGGATGGAGCCGGGGGTCCCGGCCGGTGATTGTGCCCTCCTCCCCTCCGTGTGCCGCAGCCTGGCCGGAGCAGCTGGGGCTGCCCCTGGATCCCTGGCAGTGCCCAGGGCCAGGCTGGACACTGGGACTTGGGGCACCCTGGGACAGTGGAAGGTGTCCCTGCCATGGCAGGGCTGGGATGGGATGGGATGGGATGGGCTTTGTGCTCCCTTCCTGCTCAAGCCCTTCTGGGATTCTATCGAGCCTGAGTAGCCCCAGCTCTTACAGGGCTCGCTGCAGCCCAGCTGTGGGATGAGCTGGGGGAAGGCTGAGCTGTCCGAGGAGCCGGGTGCGCTCGGAGCAGCGCTGGCACTGCCTGCACAGCCGGCACCTGGAGCCTGGCTCTGCCCCATCCCCAGCCTGGGCTGCTCCCGAGAGGCTCTGGCCCTGCCTGCCAGGTGGGTACCCCAACACCCCCATGTTGCCCCCAGCGATGGCTGAGGAGCTCAGTGAGCTGCTGAGGGAGTTCGACGAAGTAATGGAGGACTTTGACCGGGGCCCTGCGAGTCAGTACCAGCAGCACCTGGAGGAGCTGAAGAGGAAAGCGGGACAGAGCGTGTATGACAGTGGCATTGATGAGCTGGAGAGTGAGTCTGGGCTGGGGTGAGGAGCCCTGGGGAGGATGGTGTCTGCCGGGGTGGGAGCTCTGTGGTTTCTCCATGGAGCACATCTTCCTGCTGATGCTGCCTGACTCAGCCCTGGTGGGCTGGATGAGCAATGGGGGGATGACCATGGATACTGGCCCAGGACCTGCCAACATCTGCCAGGGCTCCTGGTGCCAGGCAGGCTGCTGCAGGATCCCGAGGAGCTGGGGATAACCCAGTTCTCTGTAATAACCCTCTCCTTGTAACTGTGCCCAGACAACCTCTGGTGCTCTTTGACCCGAGAAAGAAACTCAGTTCCATTTTTCCAAGCATTCCTAGAAGCAGGGGAGGAGCAGATGGGGTCTCCAAGAGTATGCCACCCTGTGCCATGGGCATGATCGGGTCGTGTTCCTGCAAAATGTTCATCAGGTGCCTGTGCCCAGGCCAGGGACTGATGCTCTGTCTCTGCAGGTGCCAGCACATCCCCAGGAAGCAGCCTCAACTCCAGTGAGGAGCACCTCAACAGCCCAGCTGACACGTATCCCACCAAAGGTGAGCCTGGCCCCACCCAAAGGGGTTTGCAGGGCTTCCTTCTCTGTGCTCAGCTGGGCTTGGCAATGACTCTCAGCCCTGGATAGGGGGGTGCCAAGGGGGCCCTGCAGAGTGGGAATGAGCCCTTGTGTCCTGGCAGGAGCCTGGAAGGGGCAGGAGTTGGGTTGGGATTTTCCCAGTTGAGGCTGGACTGGCTGGGACAAACAGCTGGAGCAGCTGTGCTAGGAACAAGGGGTTGGGGTCTCTCCTCTCCCCAGTGAGAGGGGGAATGGGGAGACCTGACCGTGTTTTTCCCCACTAGCAAAGCTTGGAGACACGCAGGAGCTGGAGGAGTTCATCGCAGACCTGGATAAAGCCTTGGAAGGTACGTGCCCAGCCTTGGTCCCAGCACTTCCCATGGGATGGATGGGACACCTGGGCTGGGGCTCCTGTTGGTGGTTTTGGGAAGATGCACAGAGACCTGTGCTCCTCTGCCTGCAGCCTCCCGCCAGCTGCTGCTCAGAGGCTGCTCTTTACCTGGTGGGGAAGGTGAGCAGGAGGAAAGAAGGGATCTTCCCTTGTGGTGTATCCTAACCTACCCCATCAGGAGGGAGGAGAGGGGGTCGGTGTGGTGGCAGGGAGCCTGTTGGTGA